CGGAGTACAGAGTACAGGCAAAACACGTTGGGCGGATTGCAGAACGTCAAGCTCACCTCCTTTGCAGTCTCCAACTCCTGCTGCATGCGCTTGATGTCCCCAGAAATGCCATTGACTGACAGGATGGCAGCCGCGACTTGAAGCCGCCTCCAGGGCTCTTGATTCTCGTAGCACCTCTCATTCCAAGCCTCTGCAGCTCCCCCTTCCAAAAGTCGGATCACGACAAAGCAGCTGGAACCATAGGCCGCTGCCAAGTGGGCGCATGCCACGCCGAAGCGCTGGCTACTCTGCCCCCGGTGCCTGCAAGTGATGACTAGTGGTGATTCCGATTTGAAAGCAACTCCCCTACCTGATCAGATCAGTTTCTGAGCTTCTGAGCGTCGCACAGGGAGACTGTGCATTCAATGGATTTCCCAACAGGGTTGTCCGAATCGTCCTCCCAGCCATACGTCTCATCTGCGCCGGCGTAACCTGTGAAGACATGTCGCGAAGCAGCTAGCGCGCTATAGCCTACCCTTCTAAATAGGCTTTAAACTGCAACCAGGGAACCGCTTGCCGACTCACAAACTTTCTGAACCAATTCTGCAAGATCCCTGCAGGACAAACATCTCTGCGCGGATGTGTCTTGTGAAAGGACCAGGTCTTGCTGCAGAATCGAAAGCTCCTGGTCTTCAGAATGCACTTGCTTTCAAGTAAGAGAAAGGAGAGGAGCATGCAAGCTGGCAAAGCTGCGAATGTTGGTCCTGGCACATGGCAGCCGAAGGAGGCACCGGTGGTTCTGACATCCCAGGTCGCACCGACACCCCGGCAACAATCAAGAGCCCGCATCCTGTTCCTGGAGCCGAAAAAGCCATTCGATTCCCCGACGTTTCAAAAGTCAAACGGCGTCCTCGAGCAAACTTATCCCTGTCTGCTGACTCCCAGCACCCCCAGACTGGCAAATCATGAAGAGGGTGTCGGAAAACCCTCCAGTCAAGATATGTGTCATAAACAGTTCATATATATATATATATATATACATATATACATATACATACATATATGAATATGAATATGAATATGAATATGAATATGAATATGTATATGTATATGTATATGCATATGCATAACTCATATCAAGATATTACAATATAGTGCAAAGTCGAATATGTTGCAATAGTTTGCCCTTCATAGCAATGCATTACAATCGAACGTATTTTCAGATTCTAAAATATGTCAGAATCTATCATCTTCTATTATGACATGTTTTAGTGCACATAGTATGTTGTAACACATTAAGGTATATTTTAGTGTACGAAAATCTATTTTAATATCTTAACACATGCTTTGATACATAAGAATTGTATTCAAGAATGACTTTAAAGTAAGATATCTTTTGAACTATATTAGAATGTATTAGTATATACTATAGTGTATCGAGATGCATTAGAAACTAGTACTCAACTATAAAGGTAGTCATCAGCAAAAAAATATTGGCATTTGTCATGTTAACATTTGTTGATACGTAGAAATATACATATATATATATGTAGCATCTTCTGCTATATTCTTATCGTATATGCATCCACGCAAATAAACTTTCATACATCTATGTATATACATATATACACGTATATAAACATGTAATGTATATACACGTATATGGTGTTTCAATTTTTTTGCTATAGAACCCAGAATGCATCCATCTGCAACCATGCCCGGGCGGCTGCGGATGCCGTCAGCTTGTGCCTCCGCCGGGGAGATGCACCACTGCCGCTAGGTAAAGGGTTTAGGGTTTAGGGTTTAGGGTTTAGGGTTTAGGACTACAGCATCCCACAGCCTCCCAGAGCATTCACTGCATCCCAAACCGTCAAGTCCAAAGCAGAAAGTGCAAACTGGTGCGAGTGCAAGAGCGGGCGCAAGAAGGGTGCAGGGTAACTTTGCTTGCATTACCTGGAAGAATTGTTCATCCTGTCATACAAGCTGGATTCAAGGAGCTTGGTCAAACAGTTGTGAAACCCATAGAGGGGTTTAGTAAAAATTTTGCAACGGTCCTCACGAGAAGCGCTTCCATTTCTTACGTTTCTAAGACGTTGATCTTTGGCATGTTGCCGGCAACAACGAACGAAGCATGAAGACATTCCGGAAGGCCAACTTCACGTGCAGCTTTTTCATGCACGACATGCCGTCTTTGCAGCATCTCAACTCACCAAGCAGCCGCAAAACGATTCATCACGTGCTGCTTGGGAATGCCTGCGAGTCACGGGCTTCTCTGAGGGAATCGAAACTTGCTTCATGCAAGAGGCCTGGCATCTGGATGGCAGGCACTGCGTAGTAAGCTACTTTGTCCGAGATCCCGGCGAGGGCGACGTCAATGTCGTGGCAGCTTTGGCTCCAAACTGCTCTGTACAACTTCTTCCAAACATCATCCAGAGTCTCGACGCGATACAGCATGGCAAAGAAGCCAAGGTTAAGGCCACTGCATCGTCCGCCGTTTCCATCAGGTCTAACTCGAGACAGGTGGCTAGAGACGCACTTGCCAAACGGACAGCGCGACTTGAGGGAAAGGACCTGCCAGTCGCAAGGAGCTTCATGATGAATGAGCTCTCGCAACTTCGATACGAAACCATCTGTCAGCCACACGTCATCTTCAAGGACCAGAGCCAAGGCTTTGGGACCACGTGCAGCAGTCCTGTCAGCTCTCAAGAATCTCTCAAGCTTGGACTTGTCATGGGAATCATGGGCCAGAGCCATGGCAAAAGAAGCTCTCCTCATGGCTCTGAAGTGGGCAGCCGCGCAACCCAGGCTGCCGAGGCTGGAATTCGCGGCCGTGGGCATCAACCCTTCGTGCAAGGCCTGCTTGACGTCGTCTCGGCGTGTCAGGTCCACCTCGGATCTCAAATAAGCTGCTGCTCATGGAAAGCTCACACTGCCCACACATCTCCCCACCCCACAGCCCCTGTCGTGTAGTCACTATGACGCCAAGGCGCGCCGTCCAGTGTTTGGAAGTCGATCCCAAGCTCTCTTAGCCTGGCACCTGCTGAGGAAAGCATTGAAAGCATGGCAGCAGTCCGGCCTCCCTAAGCCTAAGCCCCGGGCCTACAGCAATCCTAGCACATCTTCACAAAGCTAGCAACTCATGCTGTGTGTAGGCACTGACCATTTGCCATCTGTCTGTGGCTGATGGCAAGTGAACCACGTACACAGACACGGTGGAACGCATCCAACTCAGGTCGGTCGCAGCCCCAGAAGGACTGCTCCACTTCATCCCAAGCCATGGCTTTTCACACAAGCGCGGCTGCTCGAGTGCATCCATCAAGAGCTCAGATGGCAGTGGAGCTTGGCCAAACTGAGCAACCTGGCTGAGATACTATGACTTATGAGAAAACATCGCAGCTGGGAATGCGCGACTGAGCATCTTCTGGGATCTTATGGCGTAAGACAAAAGGCTCGTTTAGTCAATCTGAACCTTGACTTGATCTTGGTGCCAGGTGGTGGAACCATGCGAGGCGTAGCATCCATTGTGCTTCATGTACTCCCAGCACCAGTTTCTCTTCGTGGCTGTCAAAGGATGCGGCAAAAATGAGCACTTGCGTTTCCACTCGGCACTGAAGTTGAAACGGTTGAATCGCCGCGGAACCACAGCCGGAATTTCAACTCCAGGATTGCAGTGCTGCTGATCGAGCCTTGTGAGACTCTGGTAGGGTGACATCATTGTATTCTGAAGCGACTCTCCGATTCTAAACCGACCATCTACAACTGCAAAACGACTCTGAGGCTGGTGCGCAGTGCTCTTCTGCTCCAGTCCGCTCAGACGCGCTGATTTGAGTGCCAGTCTGGAGGTTATTCTTGATCGAATCCCTCCAGGGAAAACGCGTCAGTGCGAACAGCACAAGCATGACTCTAAAGCAAGAACCTTTTGCGAAGTGAGTCTGTGCACCAGCACATGCGTGCGCGAACGCATGTAAACCACATAGCTAGGCGCAGCATCGGCCTCTCTATTCACTTCCTATTGACTAGGACAAGTGATACATAGATGGTGATAGGACAGTGGCGGGCCTGGCCTGCAGCCACGAAAGCAAAGCTCATCATCAGCAGCGCAAACTTTGCAAACCAGATCCATACAGCTACACGCTGCAAGTGCTGCAGGCAATGCGATTCGAAGAGAGAACCCTTAGAGAAATCCTCAGATTGCGGGCTTCTCCTGTTGTGGTCACTTGCATCGGGATCCAGGGAGACAGAATCGTAGTGGACATCCGCTGTGCCGGCCATCATGGCAGCCGTGTGGTGTCTTGGAGGATTTTGCATAGAATGCTGTGTACTGTGACTCGTGGCTCCCGGCGCAATGCGCACCTGTCTCCTTCCAGTATCATGCTTGAGCCACGTGCTGCCGCAAAAGGCCAAGATGAGGAATTGTTGTATGCGTGCATGATCTGAGACAGCGCCTAACATCTAACAGATCAATCCCTTGGCCCGGCAAGCCAGTGCGCATGAGGTTGCACTAGTACTGCAGCAAAAAAGGCCACAAACGGCCATATCGGCCGTGTCAATACCACGTCCTCATACTTCCCTCATACTGCCCATGCCTTGCCACGAAACCCCTGGGCTTGCCTGCAGAACAGCTCCGGCTGCTTTGACGGTTGACCTCGAGGTCAGTAGGGCAGAAGTGGCAAGACTTCCGAGGCGACCATCCCAAGGCACATGTGTAAGGCATACTTGGCATACTTGTAAGGCACAGGCTGAGCTCACTGACCCGTGGGCACACCATGGCACATGCAAAGCATACAAATACGTGAAGCAATCTGAAGTTCATCTTTGTTGCCTTCAGGTCAGGCCTACAAGGGTGGGTTGTGCGAAACCATGTCCGAAAACAAAGGGGCCTGTGTCATGAGTATCAAGCATGAGCTGCTTGCCCCGTGGATTAATTTGACACATTCTGAAGACAAGCCATGCAGCATGAGGCTTTGAGCTTTCATGCTCACACAGCTCGTTCCCTTTCATGCCCTGATCTGCGAATCCGCCTGAAGCAAGGGCGGCTTGTCCTTGGATAGCGCGTCCTTGGCACACAGCACCGAGGCAACCCCGCACCAGTGAAGCAAAACGACTTAGTCCCTGACAACGCACATTCGCAAAGCCGTCTTGCACGTGACATCTGCCTTTCAGTGGATTTCAGTGGATTTCAGTGGGTTCAGTGAACATTCTTAGTGCCCCCCCACTGTTGCGCCTGCCTACCCCTTGGTTTCTTCAGCTCTCACGATATGTCTGTGCGACAGCTTTTCAGGCTCCGAGCACTTCCCGCCTTCATGAGAGCACGCCTTGCATTGTGCCCAAAGAGAATAGAACAAGTACAAGCAAAACGGGAAATAGGACAATACAATGGGCCCTCAGACTTGCGGGGCCGTGCCAGGAAAGCAGCTGAGGAAGTAAGAGGAAGAGAGCGAGCTTCAGGATGTCCCGGCTTTTGCAGGAACCCTGGTACATCACTGTAGTACATCACAGAAAGCTGCAAAGTTTCAGAGAAAAAAGCAAGGGGTTCTCTTATATGGAAGGGGACACCCTATTGCACGGATGCGCAGCGTCACATTTGAAAAGCACTGGATCTCAGTCGGAGCGTTTGGCAGCTGTCTGCAAATCTGATGAGTTCTCCAAGTTCTCGGCCTTCGCAACACCTGGGCACCAGATTGCAGAGATGCTTACACGTGTTAGACTGTGCCCAATGTCGAGTGCACATAGAATGTGCATGTCTAGAGTTACTTCGTTGCTTGGGCAGCCTGACACATGGGTTCAACGGTTAGACGGCATTGACAATGGCGTAAACAACTTCTCACCCAGAAATGAAACTGAGCTCTACGACTGGAGCACAACAGCAAGAAGCGCAAAAGGTCCTGCCTCTGGCGCTCGCTGCAACTCTTGCAACAACACCTGAACTTTCAGCTCAGCATTCTGAGTTCGAGAGTGTAAGTGCATTAGACAGGCCTTGGTTACGCCCCAGCGCCGCGCGGCAGCAGCGTCGAGCACAGCCAAGCCCAAAGCCTGAACAAACGCTCAGAGGTCGGTGCGGACCAAAAGTCGTGCTGCTGATTTTTGTTTCTTGAACAGTGGGTGTGCATGGGGGTGGAGGGGGGGGGGGGGGGGGCGCTTGCCACACCGGACACCCTCGGGACCGTTCATGGTTCGCGAATTAATTAGTAGATTTGGGTCCCCACTTGGCCCACAGACACAAGTTTGAATCGCAATGGCTTCATTCTGGGGAAGACTTCCGGCAAATACACCCAGCTGCCTAGCAACGATGTTACGCGCTTGCCCCATCTGCCCCATTTTGCCCACAAGAAAAGCCTGAATTATCAGGCTTTCAGCGTGAGGGAACGGGGGAAGGTGCCGGAGTGGGGGGGGGGAGTCGAACTCAAATATATCTTCCCGAAGATCAAGTGGGGCAAGTGGGTCAAATCTCATTCGTGTTCCCGGTGTTCTTTTGACCTCTTTCACCATGTTTCGGGCACATCCAACACACCAAACGCAAACCACTCGGTGGGGGCGGGGGCAAACGCCCTCAAAGATGCTCGTCCCCAGGGCGCCTCTGCATAGGATGCAGAGACTTTGGCTGCCTCTTGTCGACGGCTTCCGTCATCAAGCGCCTCAAGGATTTAGGGGGCATGGTCTGCAACATAATGCTGTAGAAGACCGATTATAGAATCACCATCAGCCCGCACCAAGTGCATCCGGAATCTGGGACCCTGAGCCGGCTCCTCCCTTGTGATGAAGTCGTCGGGCAGGGCAACTACCTGGAGAACTGAGGCCGCAAGGCCCCAAGACCCCAAGACCCCGAATGCAGTGCACTAACAGCTTTCTTCAGAATAAGCACGGCCTTCAGAGGTGCAGGATCCTTCGGGTCCGGCAGGCCTCAGAGCTTTTCAGATCCCGGGGGGCGGGGGTGAAGGGGGGGAAGGGAAGAGGGGGAAGGGGGGAGGGGGAAGGGGGGGAGGGGGAAGGGGAGGGGGAGGAAGAGGGGAGGAGAAGTCTGTCGAAGTCTTTGGAGGCCCTGAGCCTCCAGCCGTCGCGCACATCCACGACCTCAGGAGCTACAGAAATCTGAAGCCCCATATGGGTTTTTTTGGGTCGAGGAGGAACCTTCGGAATCCGAAGGGTTGACAGGGTTGACAGGTTGAGAGCGTATTTGGGTAGGGACGCACCAAACTCTACATAAAATACAACAGGAACTGTGCATTGCAATGCTGGGGGTTTGTACTGGCACAAGCAAGGCGAGCTAGGGTTCAGGCAGCCAGCGCCGTGTCAGACACCTTCCAGGCTCAAAAGATGCTCCTTGAACATCCCCTCACATTTTGACAACCATAACCCCCTTTCCGCAACTCTTCCATTGCAAAGACCCTATACAAAGACTCATCCCGCAAAAATGCGCATCACTTTCGGATGCTCCTGGAGAGAACTGAGTCGAGAATGAATCATGAGCACCAAGAATGTGCATCAACATATGCCACCAATGTAACAGTAGCACTGCACGAGAGGCCAGATGAGCAAATGCCCACGAAGACGCAGTGTGATTTGAGATGTGGAATCTCCCTACAAATCGAAAGCAAGAACGATTCTAGTATCAATGTGACAGGCAAAAAGTGCGATTCCCCAATGTGGACGGGACGGTCCACGATGCGAATTGCTGCCAGGCGATGCGAAACCACCCGGTACAAGCCCCACAACATCTTCCAAAAAGCCCTAAACCAAAAACCCTATATACCCTGCAAGCTCTGTAAACATTACAAACCCCCCAGACACGCTACAAGCAAACTTGACGACCATCGGCCTCAGCAGCCGGGCCACGGCGAACTTCTGCCGAAAGGCACACGCGACCCACCTGCACTGCCTCCGAGGGTTTTGGGGTTGTGTTCTAGCGTTTTGGGCTTTAAGGTTCTCAGCCTTACGGGTAGGAGTGCAGGGCTCGGTGAAACTAGCAGGTTTGGGGCAAAGCAAGCGCCTGAATCGGCGAGGGCACAGCCACTGGCGCGCTGCGGCCAAGCCACCGCCGGCTCACCCAGCCCTGCGCCTGGTTCCCAGGTTACCCGCATATCTCCATCCCACATAAAGCCACGTGCTCGTACAAGCCAAGAAGGGTCGAACCCAGATCTTGAAGCGGCACGCCACAAGACCTGCGCAAGCCGCAAGCTGAATTACGTGGCGTACTTGCAGGTTGCTTTGCACAGATGCTCTTTGCCAGATCTCGCAATTTTGTATCTGTCCGCTTTGCTCCACTGCGTCTTCCAGTGGCGGAAGCACGCTCTTTACAATAACGATAATAAAATGATAGCCTCAAGCCCAGCAAAATGGGGCGAGTCCATGCTTGAATTTAGCGGTAAGATGTACACCGGGTGTAGCGACACAAAGCACAACTTAGGTTTAAGGCATGCCCTTGGTTTGGGCAGGATGTGCGATCGGAAGACTTCGGGCACCATCTGTCATATGCACCGTAGCACTGCTGTGTACTAGAATCAAATTCTTCAGGCGCATATATGGCAATTATGTCTTGGTTGCTGATGAACTCGTATCTGGAACCATGTCGCATGCCCCAGGGCGTGATCCCCGTGCAATGACATTAGCTTGCCACCTACCTACGGCTTTCTTGCTGCACCATTCCAGCACCTTCGACACGACATTTTGCACGCACTGCAACTCCGATGCAGCAACCGCGGAAATGAAAGCACAGCTGTGAGTGCAAGTGGAAGTCCTTATCTGTAAGTCGTCGTAGGTGGAACGGAGGGCGTGCGAGCCCCTCGCATGCCGCTCCACATAGCTCCTCTCATACCGCTATCCGTGGCCATACTTGATGGCATACCCATTCAGCTATAGAGAATGGCGGCTCCTCACGTTGACGACCTTCTGTTTTTCTTAACGTCTTAACATCAGGCGGCTGTAAATTCGCCACCGGAGCAAAACGACCAGGACCTGTTCCTCTGGTCTCCTTCCCCTTGCACACCAACAACAGAATCGACCCCGGGGACCTTCCACGGACTCAGCTAGGACATGTGCAAAGAGTGAAGTCCATGTGCGCACATAGTATCACGATATGAACGGACACAAAAGCACACGGCTCCGAGGTTCCGATGTACTGTATGTATAGTCGGGCCTTTTCGAAACACCCGCCCTCTCCTGCCCAGAAAGGAAAGGGCCAGTGGGGTGGCACTCCTTAATCGCCTTCACTAAAGTGCGAAAAGACTGAGCGCCGCCTGCTGCTTGCAAAAGCGTGGGCAAACGGACCTTTGCATGAGTGAGCTTATTTTGTGCGACTCTTGCGAGGTTCACGTGTGGCATTCATTGTGTCATGGTGCGGCGCATGGCTAGCGCCACTGGTAACAGCAAAATCAAAAGGCTGTAGCAGGAGTCCGTTCGCTTTCATGGACGACAGGCGACCGAAACAAGCAATGAGAATAACAGCGGTACTAATATAAATAAACGTAGCTTCAGCCTCTGTTTTCATGATCGGCTCAGCATCAATTTGTGCTACTCTCCAGGATTTGCACCTTGCCAAGTGTGTATCGGATTGACAGATCTTGCTTGCGAAGCGAACGGGTGACCTGTTCAAAAACATGGTTTGGGCTTCAGAGAATCCTCAGAGCCCCACTTCCACCCGACTGCAATTCAATGTCGGTCCAGGCCTTTCACCTCGAGTGCTTCTGGAGTCCAACAAACATGTTGTAGTACCGCAGTACGAGTAGCACTCGTACAAGCACTAGAAATACTATTGGTAAAACTCGCTGTCGTGAACAGCAATGATCGTGTTTGTTATGGTATTGGAGAGCAGAGTAATCGGAACCGTGATGCCAGAGCCAGAGAACCACGGAACCAAAAGACCAGGATGCCCGAAACTGGAGGACCAGGCGCCGACCCTACCCAAGCCCGCGCTCGGGACTTAAACACAAAAACCGAGAGTTCTGCAGCAAACCGGACCACGAAAGTACGAGGCAACGTAGCACGACTTGAAGCCATGCGAATCGATCATGTCCAGGTCCTAGCGTCCGGCTTGCTGATCGACTGGCCCTCCTGTCACGCCGCACTTGGAAGCAGTTCCCAAGGGCATGTCATGCAATGCTAAGGTCCTGCCGCTTGCCAAGCCATCCTGCACAGCAATCGGTGTCCCAACTTGTCCCAGCACTGAAAAACAAAAGTGGGTGTTCAGAGGTTCTTCATTGCATCCTGCTCGGCCAGTGCCATTAGCAGTGCGTCTTGCTGCCCTAAGCTCTGAACCCTAAACCCCAAACCCCAAACCCTAAACCCCAAAACTCCAATGGCACCCCGACCTTGAATAGATGGACCAGTAACCACCTTATAGTAAGGGTTTAGGGTTTCGGGTTTAGGGTTTAGGGTTGTTCAGAACAAGGTGCTCTAAGATCTCGGGGTCCGGAGTGTCATACACCCGTCATTCAAGTACCCAGTACTACTCTTGTCAAATCCTCTCCAATCGTGGTTCGCAAACCATAGGTGGTTGTTCCGCCCACGGTGTTGGTCAAGGGTCATCCGGAATCTCGGCGAAATTGCTGATTTTAGCTCTTTTTCCGAATCTGCTGAGCATTGCAAAGCTCAAAAGACCAATATAATATCTTATAATGACTCCAATGTCCCCGATTCTGTTTGGGCCTGGTGTCTTCCGGAGCAACAACACTGTGTGAAAACAAGCCGGGCTTAACTGCGGCTTTGTGCTCCATGCTACAAGCATTCCACAAATGACCGGCATCTGCCACACTATAACCCTAAACCCTAAACCCTAAACCCTAAACTTAAACCCTAAACCCTAAACCCATGACGAAGCTGCAGTGAGCCCGGCGAGCAATCCTCCCGGTCCTCCGCTGAGTCGGACTCCTCGGCGGTGTAGTGCAGGGCGAACGCCTGCGCACAGCAGACCAACCACGCAAGAGTCGGAAGCGGGTGATCTAGCCTGCAGCCTTCAGTGTGTTCAAGGAGCTCGTTTCTTATCTTGCCACATCCAGCACAGTACTTACAGCAACACAAGCCAGTGACCAGAAGAGATCATATCAAGTTACGCAGCATCTTATTCCGTTGCGTAGCAGTACAATACATCAATACATCCGCAGAGGCCTAAGCCCAGCAAGCAAAGGCGACCGACCCAAGGGAGCCCACAAGAAACTTAAAAAGCTTATGCTCTGACTGGTCATTCTGCAGCATTCTTGCCTCCTTAGCCAGATGTCCAGGATCGCGATAGACGAGAAGGTTGTGAAGACTGCACCTGCTGTGAACTGCAAGGATAGCACAAGAGAGTCGAGCATGCCTTTGCTGGACCGGGGGGAATACCGCATAGTACTGCGAAAGATTGCTAGTGTGTGCATGGAACTGAGGGCGCAACTCCTCACACAGCATTCCGTTGATGGTGTCCACCAACACCAGAGGAGACAGAGTCAAGAGGATGAAGCCTCAGAGGCGCTCAGCCTTCAAGCTCTGAGTGCCTGCTGCATGAGGCTGCAGCACCACATACTTTAAAAAAAAGAATATGGGGGTTTAAGAATGACCTGGAGTTGAGTAGTTTAGATTCCTGTAAAAAAGGAGAAGCTGCGAAAGCAGCTACGAGATGAGTCGCCCCTGCAGTCCAGCAAGTCTGAACACGATCACAGGCCATGTCTTCAAGAGGGCGAAGGCTGTGGGTGAGACCTCTCCCACTTAGGGCCGAACTTGATACGAACATGTCCTTAAGGGAGCAATCATCAGCTTGCATCTCTCACAATGCATATCCTAAGTTGGTGGTCTCTTAAAGCCAGTCTCTGCACTGCCGCCGAGCCACCCGAAACATGCGATTGGCATGCACCCACAAGCTGAGGAATTGCAGAAAACCTAAGTCACGCGTGCAGCTATCAAGGGTGGGTTTAGGGTTTAGGGTTTAGGGTTTAGATCATCACTTGTCGTGAGTTGCCGTCTTCAAAGGCCACCAGGTCATCCCCCAGACCGGGCGCCGTGCTTCCAACCCGGTCATAACACCTCGATCGAAGGACCTTGCCAAAACTTGCGACAGTAAAGCTGAACATATACAGGGCCGGTAGATGCTGGTAGCATAGTGCTGTACAAAGTACAAGGCAACGAGACTGAGGCCAGCGCACCCTCAGAAACGAACAAGACTATCTCATAGAGCAGGTACTTCCTTAGCTGCCAGTGCGTTAAGATTTAAAGGACCAAGCGACCTGGTCATCCGTTCTCAACACAATCGCATCTGAGATGCAGCACCAAGCCTGAGACAAAGGTCTTGCTCCACCTGCAGTGATGGCAACGGGCAACGCGCCGGAGCCAATGTTCCAAGCCGGAAGCAGTCCGAACTCTAAGGCAGGCGTGCGAGCATTCTCGAGGGATGCGGGGCAGATGTAAACCAGGCGGATGATACAACGCGGGGCATGCATCAGAGCGCTAGGAAAGGGCGTGGCCTGACCTATCAGGAGTCTAGAAGAACTCACTCATGTGAGGCCGTGGCCCAGCACCGCTTCCTTTCAAGGGGTCGAAAGCGACCTGGCCGATAGCAACTGTCGCCCACCGCTACGCTACAGAAGGAAACTCCGAAGTCAACGCCAACCCAGCAAACGGAAGGCAAACGGAAGGCAGTGCCGAGCAGGCAGCTCGGCCGTGCTCTTGTCTATTATATCCGTTACAAGACAGCACATGCCTCCTCCAAGTTTGATGTGCAAAGCTGGGAGCGAGGCGTAGAGCGGAAGCAGACTTTCCACGACCTCAATCCTGAGCGAATAGTACAAGCCGGTCCATGCAGTGTCGCCAGCGATGTCTACTCAGAGGCACTCGCGCAGTCACCATCAAGGCAGAGAAGGCAAGGGGAACTGCCTACAAACAGGTGTGAATGAAAGGCCTACATAAGACTGCATCAATAAAAGCACAGCCACACTTAACATACCCGCAGAGGCCTCTGGCAGTTTGCAGCCACGCTCTGCCTGCACAGCGCGATGTGTTCTGATGTCTTCGGCACCAACCGGCCGTTGGGCATGGACCAAAGACTCGTATGTCCTTTTCGAGGCCCACTGAAGCCAAGTCGTTGACACTTGTTGCTCGTCAATTTGGCCTCGTCGTCGCTCTCAAGTGGTCGATCCACCACTGTGTCCTGCAGAATTAGCTTTGGTGCGCTTTGGTCGGCTAGGTCGTAATTGTTTGGGTGCGAGCTTGAGCAAAAATCACGGAGGTCCAGCATTGCCGCATGCACGGGCACTCCGGCTTCTGCCCTGCATTGCATAGAAGGCTTTTTCTTCGGACTGGATGTGGGTGTAGCAGAGCACATATGACCGCGCATATCTGGGAGCCGGACAAGGTCGCACGGCCCATGGCTCCTGCCTCAACAGTCATTTGCTACATGGCCGAAAACCCGTTAAAAGGTCTGAGTCACGGGCCTCCTCGCTGTCAGATTCCGAACTGCTACTGGCACCCTGACCGCGAACAGGCATGTTACGGCATGTTGCCCTCGAAATTGGCCCTAACAGATGCGTTAGCATCACGTGGCAGGTTCGCCTCTAGATCTGTGGCACGTGTCCTGAGAAGCAACGCAAACCGAGCTTGGCGGGTGCTTGACGTCGAAGTGTTGTGTTTTGAGGCCACTGCCGCCGCGGCGGGGCTGGTGGGACCACCACCCTGCCATTGGGGTTACATGATGCTTACCTCGGCCTCTGAGATCCGAGAGGCATGTGGCGGGATGTGGTCTGTGCTTGCAACGCCTGGGACCCCATCACCCCTAGGACCCCACCAAGGACACCCCAGGACCCCCGGACTTTGGGACCCTGGCCGGCCCATAGATCTCCTTGTCGTCTGAAGGGCCCGGGCTGTTGGATTCCATGGCCGTCAGCCATTGGGCCCATCTGGGGTCTGAAGCCCGAAAAAATGCCTGACAGCTATCGTCTTCCTCCGGCGCATCCCCACTGGCTCTCCGGAAGAGATCTCTTCTTCAAGATCTTTTGCTGTTTCCTGTTCTCCTGTTCTTTTCTGGGCATCCTTGGAGACCGGCAGCCGGTCTCCAAATATTGGTTGCAGACAAAAATGGCCACGTAAAAATGGGGTCCTCGGCTTCGTGTTTTCCCGATGCCCAAGTGTGTACACAAGCAAGCCGTTCGGGCGCGGAATCATCGTCTCAGCAAAACGGTTGCTGAAATCGCCGGAGAGGTTTGTGAGAACTCCAGGGACACCCAACTCACCCAACCCTTGCCCTCGGAGCCCAACGCTCACAGCGCCGAGCGGCCGCAGGAATCCCGACAACGTCCCGTGGCTTGGGCCAGCCGAGGCGGCACACGCCGCAAGCGTTTTACAGCTCCATCCACTCAGTCTCCCGAGTCGGGTCAGCAGCTCCTGGCCTTGGGCACCCCAAAATTGCCTCGAGCACGCTTACGACCAGGCAATACAGCAGCGAGAGGCCTGCCATGGGAGGGTTTGGGCTTACGCGCGGGCTCTCGAAGCTTCGAAGATGTTTTAACACGTGACGATCATTGAAGGTTTGATGTTGAAGTCGCACGTCCAAGGCGGCCGACATGGCGATTTGATACGAATGTGCTCAATGCTTCAGGTCCAGCCTACCGGCGGAAGCAGCGTGAGAATTGAAGTGGTGCCAACTGATGTGTACCTCAAAGAGCTGCCAGAAAGCACCACCTTTGACTCGCTCTGCAAAAATTTACGCGGAGGGAACGCGGAGTAAATCACCTCCAGGAGCTGGAGCTTGTGCGTCAAGATGGCAAACCTGGATTCCAGTGAGGCTTCAGCGACTCTTCAGTGTCCCTCGCAGTCGTGCGAATGCCAGCGCGAGTGCCAGCGAGATCTTTTCATTTAGGCCTCGTCTTCATGCCAAGTTCCAGGCCAGATGGCCAGGCAGAAAATGGAGATCAAGAAGGTAACACCAATGACCTCAGGCAACTTCTTGTCAGCTGGCCAAATTGAAAATTGCCTCCCTCCACCTCTTTTTCTCTGAAGACCCCGGTGGGGGTCAGTAGGGGTCGGGCAGACTCTCTGAAGCCCTTCAGGGGCTTCAGCTGGGTCCTTACTGACTTTTGCCGAGAAGCCCAAGCAGCAAGCCCCCAGAAATGGACGCCTTTCGGTACCTTGAGCTGCCGACTTCTGATAGTTCTCGACCCACAGCTTGCCTTGCAAGGAATGGCTTTGCAACACTGTTGCAACGAAGTCGCCAGAAATCACCCCCAGGCGTGGCACCTTGATCTTCCAGGAAGAACCCGATCCATGCCCTTAGCAACAGCAACCGCGTTTCTTTTGCTTGCTTTTGCTGAGTGCTGTGCTTTTAGGGCGCCCGCCTCACATCGTTTCGCACTTCGCCCAAGTCGAATTGGTACCTGCATGGAAGGAGCATAGCCGCCTGGCCTATGTTCGACACGATAAGGAGTTGAAATCCCTGCTCGCTCCCGCCACTCCGGGCACGGGTTGAACACAAACGGTCCATAGAGCCACGAAACGATAGTGATCCTGCATGATTGTGCTTGCCCATGATTCAGCAGGCTTGCAGAAACCGAGTTTGCGGGTCCCGATGGCAAGCCAGGTAAATCCCAAGCTTGATGCTTGGCCACCAGCATCTGACACACCACCCAGGAGCAATCTCGGAGTTTCAGGCTGCTGGCACTGTGTCATGCACCGACGACGGCAATGCCAGGGCTCGCACACCACGATGCAGCTTGCGAGTAGTCGCATTCCATCATAGTACGTGTACCTTACAGCTGGATGCAACAAGCAGTATGCCTTTCGAATTATTCGCTCTAAGGATCTCGCACAGCGTAGTCGAGATATAGCCCACCGACCTCGCGTGTCGACCCCTTCACGGTGGCTTTCACCAAATGCCGGCGTACTCACGTGGGCCTTCGTCAGTTTCGTGGTGCCAGGTTCCTCGACAAGCTAAGGAGGAACACACAGATGCGAGTACGACACGGCTTGGACCCTCCTCGAAGCACTAAGCCACTAAGCGGCTCACAATCTCGCCAATGAAAGGTCGACGATACGTCGGCAACCCACGGCCTGTTGCCACGTACTGCGCACCTGCGCGGGACGTTGACAGGGATCACGCCTCCTCTCGGCCGTGCAGGCCCTCAAACGCTCTCAAGAATCTTGAGCCAGATCTTCGATCCGGCTGAAAATCGAAACACGGATGAAAGCGGTATCTCTGGGCCCCTGCGTTACATACCTGTGCCGCGTCTGCTTCATGAGTTCGAATGTATGTCGTGGAAGGAGGGGCTTGTCACGGAGGCTATCGCAAACAGAACAACTTTGCTATAAACATGTCCCACAAAGGCGTGTGAGGCCTGTTACCATGCCTCGGACATTTGAATCACAGCTCTCAAGCTATTCTCAAGATGAGGCCTCCATACCGCAGCTCGTTCACCACCTTGAGACAGGAAAGAACTGAAGAATCAAGTAGCAAGATGAAGCATAACACAGCCGTCCAAGGTGGACTGAGTGCGTTGCATAGTAGCCGATGATCTTGGCCTGGAACACGAACATCAAGAAGGACAATGTCAGGTACCTCAGAAGCGAAGCCCATAAACGTCCCAATAGCCTAGTAGCCTTAATGATTTCTTATGTAAGCTTCTGCGAGGCTTGACAGGGCACTGCTTGCCCAATCTCCACACAGCATGTCCAAAACTCCTGCCAGCTCTGAACGATCCAAACACGTGCGGAATGTTGGGCTTGGATACTCTCAGATCTACACAAGTCGCGAGTTGACGGGAAGTGGGCACTGCTGCCGCACGCAGCGAGTGCACTTCTGGGGCTCTCAACATACCTGGTTGCTACCCGGGTGCGAGGCTTTTACAAGTAGTGACGAGAAAGCATTGCCGAAGTAGCAGGCCATGCGAGGTAGTCTCGTAAGCAAGCATGCCAGCATTGTCGCTGATCTACGGGCAGCGAATACCGCACCCACTTCGTTCCGTGATGAACCACAGCTCGTAAAAGTCATGACACTTTGACCACCAGCGCTTCCCGGACCACATGATTGACACTGCTAAGCCTAACTGTAAGAACCAAATGTCCTGCATGGAGGCCGAACTTACCATTCCCTGTCCCCGTCCACTCTAGGTGCTGGCTGAGTTGTGCTGGTCCTCTCCATCCATGACTCTGCAAACAATGGCATGGAAGTTGCCACCAGGAATAAGAAAATCACCTGGGTCAGAGTCCATGCATACTCGGGAAGTAGCCGCTCCAGAGCCGTAATCTATTGCCATTTTTGGGAGCCAGTGGGTGCCGACGTTAAAAACACACAACTCTAATGGAAGGGCGTAGTCCCTGTCAATGCCAGCTCATGAAATGCGGACCTGTCAGGCGTACAAGCATCTGCAAGCATCTGCAAGTCGCTTCTCTGAGGAAATCACCCACGAGTACCACACTGACAGGAGGTTGGCCATGGCCTGTTCCACACAATGCCCCCACCGAAACAAGGCACATGTGAGCTGTGAGTCAGCCAAGGGAGTTCGAGATGTGGTAGGCAACCCCTCTGCGTGCATGCTAGCAAAGACACCTCCTGTCTGCGGTTCCTATCAAAATATGGAGCTGTGTACAGTATGGCCTAGTTTTGGGCCGGGATGTCGAGAATCCTTTAGGCTTGTTCAGGTCCAAAGTCCTGACGTGATCTTTATTTCGTGGCAAGGCTACAGTTCCTCCCCCTCGCGGTAAAGGGCCCGAAGGCAGTCTGCAATCCCTATAATCCCTATGTGTTTGTCGGCCGTGATATCTCTTCTTTTGCGCACTTGAGGGCCCCTGTATTTCTGGCAGCTGTGCCGTCCACCTGAGCGTCACGACACCTTTGACAACCTGTTCTCAATGCTCCAGAAGGCTGGACACGACCTCCGTCCTCGAGTCCTCCGGCTGCGTGTCCAGGCTACCGATGTTCTGATTTAAATTTGGTGCCGCTGCCAAGTAGGGAAACGTTCCGTCAGGTGGTCAAAGCCAGATGGGGTGGCAGCAAGGTGCAAAGCTGTGCGTGGCGACCATGTTGCTGTTTGCTACTGAGTGAAAGTCAATTGGGAAAGACACGTGTAAAAGATAAAGAAAAGCCTCTGCACATGCATGGTTCAACTTTGCACAGTTTGGCAGACACACGCTCCCCATGGCCTGGGCGGCAGGGACGGTGGGACCTGAAGACCAGCTGTGTTTCTTGCGAATGGGTCTGCCTAAAACACACAAGTATCACACAGCTCCACTTGAACTGAATGCTCAATATGCCTGAGGTTGTTGTCTCGAAACTGTGGCCAAGCGGCAGTAATTTTCGAAGACCTTGAATGTTGTTTCACCTGTGCTGATGGCTGGCAGCATGCGCAGTGCCGAACGGAAGCACGACACAGTCACCACAGAAGTCGCGAAGTAAGTAAGGCGTGGACAATCACCAGCGAGAACAACCTCTGCCGCATGAATTGTACAAGGTCGATCGTTACATGTCCAGTGATCACGGCATTGCGAGTTGAATAAGGCTTGCACCATCCACGCAAAGACCTGAACGCACAGACGGGCAGAGGTGAATGGTAATGAAACTGTGCACACCATGAGCAACCGATGAACCGACTCCATTCCGCATTGACTGGCATATGATACTCTCAGTCAGTAAGGACCCAGCAAGAATCGGCATCGATGCTGATACCAAGCCCTGTGTGATGTAGTAGCCAACGTGAGCATAGTAGAAGGTCAAAGCTTCAGGCAAGTGCAGAATCTGGCCGAGGCGGAACATCTGCCTCAGAGCCGGCTAAGACAGATCATCGCCCGCAAGCAGCAAGAGTGTGAAGCTCCCGAAGAGTAAAGAATGTCCATCACACTCACTTCTGCACGTTTCTACTTGACTTGGCGTTTTACTACGGGGCGAACGCATCAGAATGGGGAATGAGCAGGAAGCCCGGTAGGGAAACTCGTCGAAGGCCCCGGACACCCGCGACGAAAGCCGGAAGCCCTTTTTCGGATTCGAAAATCGAGAACGACGAAGGCCTAACAGGGGTTTCAACGAAGGCCGGGGGGCTTCGCCGACCCTTGCTGAAGTCTGTGTGCTAGCCCCCCCCATACGCCATTCTGATCAGTCAGGCCCTGGATTACTACTGCTTCGATAAGTACAGGTCTCATCGAAGGCTTCCCTTGCACTGATCAAGTGAGCGGCCGCGTGAGGATCTGCTCGCCAGCTCCGGAGGAAAGCTTGGAGAAGAAGCCCAGCACCGTGTTGAAGCCGAGGTCTCGTCCCTTGGCCACATGAAAGTACTCACAGTGCTTGATGGAGCGACCTTGACCCCGCAGGGTGAAGTCCATGCCGGCAAAGATGTCCTCAGACAGGTTGATGGTCTTCGTGGCTTTCGAGACGCCGCCCTGTTGGATCATGAACTGCTTGTTCATGATGTCAGGATGCCCGTAGTGCATTCGTGCACCCAGCACGGCGTAGGTACGCTGCAGGATGGTGCCAAAGGCCACTTCGGATCCTGCCGCAAAGTCCCCAACTGATCCGATGTCACTGGTGATGTGCTCCGGAAGGCCAATGATTTGTTTGGCGGCGTCATCGCCGATGTACGCGGTCCGGAACTCTCCAAGAACGCACGGAAGCATCAACATCTGCTCGAAATAGCCTCCCTGGTTGGCGTCAATGCATTGGCTAAAGATACCTCGGAGGAAGATAATGGCATGGTTTTGGTTGTCGCTCTTCCCATCACCCAAGATCGGGTATCCAGGCAACTCAACTGTGTACCTGGCAGCTCTTCGTCCACCACCAATGTCTGCGCATGACCCATCGATCAAACAGCTGAAGTAGCGCCGATGCTGTCTTGGATGCACATTGTCGACCTCTGCATGAACATTCTTGTCTTTCTGATCGATGTAGGCCACCTTCAAACTGCTCGGAAACTTGGCAAACATCTGGTTCGTGTGCTGGTATCTCACCGGCTCGAAATTGGCATATTGTTGCATGGAAACGATGCAACTGAAACAGTCATTGGGAGTCCAGACCTGGGCCAAAGCAGGCTTCCTCTCACCAACAATCCGGCCCACACCTTGCACTTCATAGTGGCACTGCAGAGCAGGATGGTACAGCATCATGCCCGCAACTGTTCGCCACAAAGTCTGCAATCGCATAGAGGACCAGCCACAAATTTTCTCCCACTGCTCATCCGTGTACTCCTTAGGAGCTGAATAGAGGGCAAAAACAAGAGAAAGCACCCTCACGAGCTGTGTAGGCACTGTAGGCAAGCATCGTCCCAATTGGCTCCATGTGGTAGGTGGACGTCGGGTTTCGCCTACTGCCAGTGCATCTCATGCTGCCTCACAACTTTCACTGGCATCGTTGAGGCCTGCATACGGGCATCGAAGTTCAGCCATTCGTCCTGCAGTCGGGTTGGGTGTTTGCTTGCTTGCTTCTGCTGACAGTTCGGATCTCTCATTCCTGCTCGGGCATGAATTGTTCATGTGCCCTGCTGGAGAAACTCTCGCTGCGTGGAATCGCCGCACCTCATAGCGAGCCTTCAACCAGTCCATGAGAGGAACCTGAAGCTAGCCAAATCATGCCTAAATCCCGCTCTTTGCTTCAGCCAGCGCTGGGGCGTGTACTGTGTCATCAGCACGACCACCGTACAGCGACTCCTCACCACTTTGGCTGCCGCTACTGCTTTTGGCGCAAGGCGTTTAGGTGAAAACCGGTACACCTGTGATTTTCTGAGATCAAGTTACGTTCTAAGGAAAAGGTTGCTGCTGCACTCCAAGGTGGCTATCGCTACTATTAACAATCATGATTTTTTTATTGCTGCTACGAGGAGACAAGGACGACTACTGCTACCAGAACCACTATTCTTGCTGACTTGGACAGAAACTGCCTACTGCCCACGTGACGTCCTTTTGCTCCAGTATGGTCTCGCCATAATGCGGGATCAGCACCTGGACGGCTAGACTTCCGTAAACTTCCATCAGTCATGGCATCGCCACCACTTGCCACTCCGCCCAAGCACCGCGCCGTGATGCCCGGTATGTAGGGCGCTCGGAAAGGCTTCGGGATAGGAAGGCCGAGCCCACGAGACAAAGCGAGTAGTCGCCTTAGCGACACAGGGAGAGGAAAGAAGAGTACGGGAGGACACCATCAACTTCTCGCAACTTCTCGCAATTTTAACAATTCAAGCCCAGGTGCCACTGTACTTCCGCATTTGCTGGCCAATGTGCGTGCGGAACCTGGCTTGCAGTAGACTTGTCTGGTCAATCAACAAGATTACAAAATCACAGATACCAATTACAGTATGAGCGGCATCCAAACCTCATCATGGACTCCTGGTGACTCTAATTGGAGCTTACATAGCTTGCCCATGTTGCTTGTGCGCACATGATTCGGCATGCTAGCATTTTTCAAGCTCATACAGAACGTTGTCCCGCACGATCACGTGGCTTGCTCATTGCGCGAGCTTATGCGAAAGTACGCTCACCTTTACATGCTTGATCGCCGCGCGCATGGCTTCCGAAGCTAATGATATGGTCCTCAACACCAGCTTTACACTCCTGCCGGCATCGTGACAGCATCAGCAACTGGGGTTGCTGCGAAGGCTTGGCAAGCTCGTTGGATAACAGACTGCTCTTTGAACAGGTTCGGTATCTGGAGAAAAACAAAAGCATGAGAAAAAAAGAAAAGTCCCCCTTGGAAGTGCGTTGTTCTCCCTCAGGAAACCTAGGCGTCTGAGTCCGGAGCAACGATCCGAAGCTGTGAGGACCCATCTCCGGCGCCGGCCCCAGGCCTCGGAAAGTCGCGAAGTTGTGAGAACTGAGCAGCACAGTTTAGGGTTTAGGGTTTAGGGCTTATAAGGCTTAGGGCTTAGGGCTTAGGGCTTAGGGCTTAGGGCTTAGGGTTTAGGGTTTAGGGTTTAGGGTTTAGGGTTTAGGGTTTAGCGGAATTTGGCGATACTTGGCGCTGCCCACAAAGTATGAAATGGCCCCTACAAAAATGGTGGTTCTGGGGATGCCCGAGGCACGCGCAGGGCTGGTTGGATAGCCTTGCTCAGGCTACTCCACTCGATGCCACGGCTGTCGAACTTTGTCATGAAGGACTGCAACAGCAAGCAATTGCATACTGCATGAATGGATGATATGGGGGGTTTACGATAATCTAGGGCCCCCAAATAGTAGGATTCCCTTTTAAACTGGCTTCAATAAGGTACCCCTAGTAGCGTAAGCCCCATATGCGAAGCACTGCAGCAAACTGTGAGACACAGCATCAGCAGTCTGACAGAGCTGTTACTATTACTTTGCTACTGCATTAACTGCATCTAGTGTATCAAGAACGCACCAACCGCATGAACCACGAAAAAGTCGCCAATGCTCAGGGGGCCTTCTAATGGAGCGGCAAATCTTACAAAGAGGAGCAGGAAACCTCTGAAAGAAGACGCTGCCAGTAGGCCAGAGAGGACGCACAAGGTCGCGTGTGTATGTGTAACACACAGTGAAAAAACTTCATGGGCGGTGACTGCTACAGTAAAGAGCACCTCTGACGTACCTCGCCCGTCACCCTCATGAAAAGAAACACCTTCATATAGATATGACGATGGGCGATGCTTACTGAAGCTGCACTCGTGAGGGGCCAATATGTTGCCCTCAGACTTCAAAGCCGTGAGCCCTTGAGCTGGAAGGAATCAAGCGTTGTGGAGCTGTCTCTGGCTGATGGTTTCCAGCAGAGAAAGAGAGAGAGAAAGAGAGACAGAGAGAGAGACAGACAGAGAGGAAGATGGGGATCGCGAGCTCCGAAAAAGCTACTGGCAGCTTCCGCGATTACATCGTTTCTTCAGGAAAAAAGCGGCTGAATAGCGAGATAGATTGTGCGGAATTGCAAAAGGCTATAAGCTCTGCACTAAGGCCAGCTATGCGAGAATAGGATTAGCAGACGATGCAGGAGTCCTCTTGCGCTACTGCACAAAGACTCTGCGAGAACCAACTTGTACTTGCCCCTACGCGGCCCGTGCCTGATCTGCCATGAACTGGTTCCCGATCTTATCTTCGTATCTCATGTACCTGGCTTGAGCATGTGAGGCTTCCAAGAGATCATTCCTGGCGCTGTCAGCCCTTCCAGCCCTTCCAGCCCTGAGTCCAGCGCTCCAAGATGCGGTCCCAGACCAGTGGAAACTCGCGGGCCATCTCCCGGCCCTGTCAACTCGCCCCTCGACAATGCTGCCAGGAGCCACAAGAATCAGCCCTCACGCTGCCTGGACATGCTTCTTGACGAAGCAAAACACCTTTGCAAAGAGCAGGAGTCTTTTCAACCAGCTTAGTCACTTAGTCCCGCAACCTCGTCCCCGTGGGCGTGTCTTTACATTGCCAAAGGTCCTTTGGTTTCCTCCGTCCCCCATGAACACCGAGCTCACGACTTTCTCAGACATCCTCTCAGGAATTTTCGCCACCGCATCCTGGAGCAACTGGCAGACCGCTTCGACTCTGATACGGCTACCTGATTCTTGCACATGTGTCTGCATGTCTCTGGGCTATGCTCTTCTCCTCCAGGCAGAATGTGCCAATTTCACACCTTGGTCATGTGACAGATTCTGCTGCAGAGCCGCCAAGTTTGTGCACCCGAACGGGCAAGAGTTGAGTCTCCAGCGAGCGCTGTGCGAAGTAGGTGCCAACACCGAGGAATGTGCAGCCGAGAGTGAACCACATCCTGGATCATGAATCCAGACGCGGATTCGTTTCGGGGCACGAAAAGGGATGGCCACTACTAGGGCCACTACACTGCTAGACAACAAACCACTGAGCTGCTGATACTGCACAAGTCACCCTGTGTCTGCACAGAACAGGAAGAACGTGGTGAACCACCTCGGCTCAACACGTGCTTCCTAATCAGGAGGTCAACTGCACGCCATGCCGATGCCGCATTTTCCATGGTCCAACAAGCACCATGCACCAGGTCACAGCAGTGCCCACTCCAATACATCTTTGCCCCAGTCCACGCCTGACAAACTTCAAGAACTTCAAGGTGCATCCCAGTGTTCCACGAGAACTGGGCGCCGCACTGCTCCACGAGAACTTCATCTCTGTGACACTCTGCTGTCCCAGCATGATGATGCGCAAATCCCGATGCCTGGAAGTGGTGGCCAAAGGCCATGTCATCACTGCTCTCACAACGAAAAGTTGCACCAGCTTGCTGCTAGGCGCACATCAGGTGGTATACGGAAGCAAAGATTGTGAAGCCTCAGACAGCACTCTGGGGCTCTCTACTCAGCTGCATGGAACTGGCCCAATCCCAAAGATCCCCGAGCCAGCAGCTCACAAGGAACTTGATGGCAAGCACCTTAAGGAGACTTAAGGCGACTTGAGCAGTCTTGGCCGAAGCGGATGTTGTCTGTAGTGTAAGAGCCTGGCAAAGAACCAGAAGGTGTAGCGCACCACAAGCAGACCTGGAGCTACCGCTGAGCTGCCAGAGTGTCATTCTCGCCTGGACCCTCTGTCATAATGTCATACCCTTCCCATGTCCACTCTGAAGCGTTCGCAGAGGTGCACCGGCGTCCTGGGGAACAAGATGTCGTAGGTCCTTCGTGCAGCAGATACTGGACCTTGAAGTATGTTTTGTTGAGCACTTTGTCTCGTGCTGCATTCAAGTCTCTGAAAAGGATGATCCTACATGCCTTTTACTGCGCACGGCGACAGACGTGCACGAAACTTCAAGCGGCACATCCTGCGGAGCGGAGGCAGCAGCGCACTGCCTGCTTGGATGGTTGCTCTGCAGCGTCGAGAAATCTGAGGTCCAGTTTGCCGCCGGCCACATCATCCACAGTCCGGGCGCGTTCGCATTCACAGGAAGCCCGCTCTTCTCGTCTGAAACCGGGCAATGCGGGATCCACAGCCGCTTGTCAGAAGGCCGGCGTAGATCGCATGCAAAGGAGCACACTGCTGAACCTGAAGGTTGGATGTGGCGACAAGCCCCTTCTCAATGCCGTCTGCCCTCTGGAGCAGCTTGTTCACATCATCCAGCGGCGTACCGACATCTGGGGTTGTGGTGGAAGGATTTCCCAGGAAGACATGAACTGTGCTGGCATCGCGAGATGCATCCGACGCTGGAAAAGGAACGACCAGGTTTTGAAGGCGGTCGCCAAGCAGTCTCTCCTCCACCATGTCTATCTTCGCGTTAACCTGGTCGGCTATGCGATTGAGCTGCGGATCAACTTTGGAGTCGTACCTTATGTCTGCACGCTCCAAGTCCTGGTCCAGCAGCGGCATCTCCGGCTCCTCGCCCGCGCTCGCAAGGTCCTCGTAGTCCTCGTAGTTTTCCTGGTCCTCGTAGTAAGGCTCCTCGTAGCCTGCGTAGCCTTCGGCCGGTGGGCCCGGTGCTGGCCCTTTGGGTGAAGGCATCCTGGGCTCCTCCTGCTTCATGGGGACGCTTTCCTTTGGCATCCTTGGTACAACGAACTCATGTCGATTCGGATCCTGGGGCTGCTTCTCAAGCTCCTTCAACTCCTTGAGGCTCAGCTCTTTCAAGTCCGCTTTCGCTGTAGCCTCCGCAGTCTTGTCTACATCCTTGAGGTCGACCCCCTCGTCTTTCAACTCCTTCTGCATCGAACCCAGAACCGTTTCGTCGGGGTTGACCACCACAGAGAATGAGCAGCGGTGGGGAAGTCTCGGCGTGTGCCACACCGTTAGATGCGCGCTGCTTGGCAGATTCGCCGCATGGCCCAATTCGAAGTGGTCCCGCAGGTGCATGCCTAAGACTTTAGGCCATGATACTCACCGCCGAGCAGCCATGCCTAAGATTTTTGGCAAGACGGGCTGAAGCTCTCCAAGCCCAGCATACCCTCTTGAGCCATGAGACCACCGCTGAAGATGCTGAACGCATGACGTTCAACTGTTGCTTCAGGCTGGAACATGCTGGCACCCTTGCATGCTGTCACTGTAGTGAACTGTAAAGCCGATCTCCGGGGCATCTGCCGATCTGGGAAGAAGAGGTGCGCCACCAGGCCCAAAGCCTAAAGCCAACTCGGATTGGAAGAGCCGCGTTTGGATGTGCCGCGAGAACAAGAGGGCCAGGCAGAAAGCACTGAATGCGCAGAGAGCACCTTCAGCAACGATCAGGCATCTCAACTTGTGGCCCTGTGGCGCTCTGAAGTACACGCGTGCACAACGATTCATCTTGAAACTCACAGCCTGCTTGGGATCGTCACTCGCGAGCAGCTGAGCCCAGCACCATTCCCAGCTGAAGATCTTTGCTTTCCGACAACTTTTCGCCCTGGCTTTAGTTGCAGCCAAGCACAACTTCCAGAGCAGCTCTAAAAATACTGCGCGTGATTCCCTCATTGCTTTGAGCGGCCGTCCTTCAGTTCCACATACCGCAAAGCAGCATAGGTGACCAACGGCCTTTCAATCTGCGGCACTCAGAGTGCAACACTCTGGATTGGGTTGAACACGGGTGACGATGAGCATCGGGTAGAGCGGGGCTCAGACGATGCCCAGAGCAGGGTGCGACCGATGCCTAGGCCATCGTTTCTTCGAAGCAGCTTGAGGGGCATGTTGGGGCATACTCTGGCATTGCTGCACATCGCTATCAGGCTTGGCACCGGCAAACCAGCAGCTTGGTGAGTTGATCCTTCCAGGGCCATGTTGCACCGAACGTGAATTGCTGCGAGGGAGGTAGCAATCTGATGTCTTTAGTTAGAAGCCCGCTTCAACTACTTTCAAGAATGCAGCTGCGATCAGCTGCGTACGAGCTGAGTCTGTGGAGGTGCCTAGCACGGGCCAAGCGCGCCTGCGGCAGACGGTGGCGCCCGTCGTCTCGTACCGGGCGAAACCCCAGAGGATGGCATGAAGTGGCCTCAGAACACAAGCCACTAAAGCATGCACGATCGGTGCACTCTGCAAAGCACAGGTGTGCACCACCGATGGTACCACCGATCCGTCGCCACATGGCGCACGTGCGACAGAGGGATGACATGCTGCTTGGATCTGCCTGAAATCCAAGCTTCTCACACCACAAGCCCAACAGCTGCAAGTCGCACGGGAAAGGTGTTCCCCAGGAGAGCGACCTGGGGGCTGCTTCGAAGATGTTCGAAACCTTCCTATCCATGGCCTCCCCCATAGCCATGCCACAGCTGTGCAGTGCTGTGCAGTGCTGTAAATGGTAGCATCGCAACCCAATGACACAGGCCAGCGCATGACCAAAATCGATGTGAGGCGGGTCCGCTATCCTTCGAACTTGCATGGACAGATTGCAGACTCGCCACTTGTACAACGCCTGATAACTTCTGAAGCGGCGTTGTTGATTTTCGCAGCCGTAAGATGCTGGCGTGAGCGTGAGCCCGACTGCAAACAACAGCATGTGCCTGGCCAGTGTATCTGTCTCTCCATCTGGCAAGATTCAATAGGTTTGGTTCTAAACTTCATGCCACGAGACACCCTGAAGCAAGCCGGATGCTCACAAGCCACACTCTGTGCGTGGAGGCCAGGAATCCCCACAGTGAGTGCACCTTCATGGGCCAAATGCTCTGTGTGTGTGGGTGAGCTTTCCGATTGTTGCGCGAATAGCTTCAGCCCTAGACTATCCTATCGATAGGCTGTGTTGATCTCTGTTGCTTCCGCAGGGAGCCGCGTAAACAACAAGGCAGGGTTGCAAGAGTCAGCACGCAAACAATGAAGTGACTATTGACATGTCACAGAAGCGTCAACCGTGAAAACGCCTGCCACAACATGCCATTGGTACTTCCAAGAGCTCACAAGCAATCCCATCGCATTTCCAAGGCTTCCATTCTCAGTCTAAAACGGTGCTTGCACAGGCTTGCCAGCCTCACGATGTGTCTTGGTCTCGAAACGGTCCAATGTCCATTCCCACGCCTGGTTCGAGGCTCTTAAAGCTAGCTAGAGTCAAGTCTAAAGTCAATTGAGTCTGGCAATTTTTGTTAAAGTCACAAAAGTCGCGAGGCGCGGGCCACTCTATGTAAGTTGGCAAAGCGCTGCCCATGGTCAATCTCGCAGAAGAGCTCCCCATCCTGTCAGAGCTTCATCAGCAGCAGGAATAGCAGGAATAGGGTAGCACAAATGCGGTGAGTCAAGAACATGGGTCCTGGCAGACCATGGTCGCAGCAAGTCTTGTCGGATCGCAGAAGAGCTCGTTCCAATCCTTGATACAGTAGGCAATCAGGATTTCTTGTTCTGCATGTATTTGACGCACACAGCGTGATGAGCGTGCGCTGTGTGCTCAGCCTCAGCTTAACGCGGCGGCGATTGTTTGTTCTTTTTGAAGTGATACGGACGCAAAGCGCGCTTGTCAGTTGGTTTGTACTGTGGGTTTAGATTTTGTTCTAGGGTGTGGGGCTGTTCCGGGCTTACCATGGGGCCGTAAGCTTTAGATTTGGGGTTAGTGCGGGTTAAGGTTTTGGGAAAAAGGATTTGTTGGTTTTCGGGTTTGGGGCTCCTTGCCCATGTGATCCTTGCTTGGATGCGCAGTGCGTCTTTTTCAAAAAGGCCCTCACAACAATGAAAAAACAAAAACGGCGGGCTCCTCGCTCGGGGAATGTGTGGTCACATGTTCAACAGGCACTCATTAACAAGAGCACATAACGTGCTAGTTCACAGCCAGCATCTTTGATAGTTGCTCCTCCCATGGGGCTCTGGCATCATAGTTGGCAACATCTGGAGGCAGAAATGCCTCGTATCCCTGATCCACAGTTGGCAAAAGGTGAAAATCGCAGCCGCCATGCTGCTGGCATACTGTCAGAGACACGGAGAGAGAGAGAGAGAGAGAGAGGGCAGAAAAGTCAGTCAGCTTGCCCCAAGCTACTCATACAGTGCGGCTTCTTGGAACATGCTCATGAGAGAGTACCTTGTGAAGGATCTTTTTGTCCTTGCTGCCGTTCTTGTCAACCTTCTCGTACCTACACTGATGAACGATGAAGGCACAGCGGCATCTCTGGTTTCGAGGACGGCTAGTCTGTGCCAGTCTTGGCGCAACATGATTCAACTCAAATGGGGAACCACTCGTCAAAGACTACGTTGTAAATCGGCCGGACGACCTGCAGAGTCACACCCGGCCATAACGCATCCTTCTTGGCCATGCTGCGTGCCTTTGCTAGGAAGCTGCGGCTCTGAAAGGAAGATCCAGCCGCAGGCCTGGCATGAGGGTGATTGGCACTGCCCTGTGGACCCCTTCAATAAAGGAAAGGTGTTAAAAACATTTTACACCTTCTGACCTCAAGGCCTTAAGGCTTCAGCTTCGGAATGTGAGGTACTGAGTCCAGGCCCTGAGGATTCCTCACTACTGCGTTTATGCAAGGAGGTCTGGCCATCAGATTCTGATGGCGGTAGACAACGAAGCAGCCGACCTCAATACTGAGAAGCCCCTGCACCCCAATATAATAACGTCTGGAACTTCATGCGCGGGGCGGGACGGGGGCGGGGTCGGGGTGGGGGGGGGGGGGGGTTATCGGTGCAGGACTTTGTAGCGAGTGGGGGTGACCTACACGACTCAGAGGTCGACCTGAATCAGATCTTTGTCATTGTCAGCTCTTACCAATGCCGCCTTCCACCTCCTCCATACAGACCGGCTGGTCCCGGGGCTTCCTCACAGCTTCGACAACTGTTAGGCAGATGTCATCACACAGGCAAGGGCTTCCGACCGCGCCGAGAACCATCTCCGTCAAAAAATAAACAACCTGCCACAGGTCATGCTGCCGACTGCCCGAAACCTCTAGACTTATCCGGTGCCTCTGGCATGAACCGAACGTTTCCGCTCTCACCCCAGACTAACCTCAGCAGTACAGAGGCTGACTTGTCTTCTGGCATGCCTAAGCATTGAAGGCATTGTGTGAATCATTCGTGCACAGTGTCCAACATACCCAACATCTGAGTGCTTCTTGCATGGAAGTATAAGGCTCTCTGGGGCTCTTGACAAGTATGCTGTAATCTCGGCCAACTGCCTGGTGCGAAACTGAGCTTGGCCGCCTTGCCATTACTGAGCAAACAAAAATTGCTTCCCGGCCTTGACGCTTCGAGAGCATAATCGGATCGACCCCCGTAGATGGAGGCTGGCCTACTTTTGCGGCTTTGCGGCACGCTCTGTCGCTCTGCCGCCGCAAGACAATGGTTGACCAGGTGTCCGACAACTGGGTCCAGCGAGCTCCAGCAAGAGGGGGCATGGTGCCCTCGCAAAGGACATCGCCGAGTGGCTTCTTCAGTCTTCAGAGCCATAGTGATGAGCCTCACGTCTCTCGGGTATGTCGAAGTCGTCGCTATCTTCGCAGGTGCTGCGCCAGCGACGGAATCCCTGCAACATCGGGAGCAAGAACATTCCTCTATATTCCTCTACACAGTGCCATGGATGGGGCACTCAGAGAAGATAGCACCTGCAGTAGCTCTGTGTGAAGCTCCTCCAGCGCTGAGGTGAGCAGGCGGTCTTCCTGAACCTGTCCGCCGATCTATTCCCTTCAACAGGCCGCAGGTGCCCGCAGGAGACGGTTCGGGAGGCTACAAGGCTGGCAAGGCTAGCTTGGATCCATAGTCACCGTAGTCTTGTTGTGTTAGATCCTCGCTCTTTCGACACTCCAGCAAAAGTGCCAGCCCTGCCAAGACACCTCTTCCTCCTCCTGCACGTCTCTGTCCGCCACCTGCCAAGATCCCACAACAAGACAACAGCACCTCAGATGCCCTCTGAGACTCTGAGACTCCGGCCATGGAACTGTGCGACTGCAGCAGTGACAGCAGGTGCTCGAACTGATTTTTCACGCTATCGTCCTGCTTGGCTGAGCCACTCTTAGCCACACCGATGCCGTTCTGCACATGCACAGTTGCAGCAAGTACAAGTACGCGCGTGGTTGGGAAGGAGCCGATACTTGGGGAGTGGCTCCTGGAAGTCAAAAGCTTCTTGTAATGCTCCGAAAAGGCCTGCTGCAGACGCAGCGAACCTTCGAAGTCTTTCCGAGGGCCGATCTTGCGAGATTGCAATCCGAACAGCCTTACTCATTATAGATACGAATATATATATATATATATATATATATATATATATAAATATATGTCTACATAAGACATAATATATAATACAAAGTATATAATATATAGTATATAGTATATAATATATAGTATATAGTATATAGTATATAGTATATAGTATATAAATATATAGTATATAGTATATAGTATAAAGTATATAATATATATATATATATAATAATAATAATATATAATAATAATAATAATAATAATAATAATAATAATAATAATAATAATAATAATAATAATAATAATAATAATAATAATAATAATAATAATAATAATAATAATAATAATAATATATTATAGTATGATACATATATAATAATATAATATAGTATAATAGTAATATGAGGGCTCTTCTGCGCTATTCTCCAAGCGCAGCACTCACGGGCACCAGGAAGGACCTGGGTCAGAACTGGCCACGGTCTGGATTGTTCGAGAAAACTCACTGTTTTGAACAGCGAAGGATAACGGAGCTGCTTCGCCTGGTAGATTACCTGTACTTGTAGCTTCGCATCGCTAGAAATCCGAAGGTTGCTGTGGCTTGCCGCTTGTAATCTTCATTCGGGCCCGGAGGTCGCCAGGAAAGCGAGATCATGTCAATGCGATGTGCTGAATTCAGATTTCGCCAAAGGCAGAAAGCACCGCAAGTGCTGCAAAGTTCACAAAGAACGCGCTTGCTTTCATGTCGTCTCGACCAGGCGGCATCGTGCACATGTGTGAACTTGAGACTGTGGCCACGAAAGCTAGAAACGTGCTCGTGCTTTTACGCACGCAGCGGCGCATGCTTGCGCATGCACAGCCGCTAGAGTTCGTGATCCGGTTCTGATGGGTGCTGGGTGAGACATTTGAGGAGCCCCAGATCCAAACATATAATCTAGTTTGCCAGTGTGCACACATGCTCAACTGTAAATGCTCCAGCAAGCAACAAGCCACAAGAGGCCTTGTTCGCAATTTGCTTTCTTAAGTCTGAATGCCGCCTGTGTTCCACAAGGCTTGTGCACGCACAGCTGCTAGAGTTTAGGGTTCCGAGTACCACCAAAGAAAAACTCCACTGGCGGACAGTATCTACCGATCTATTTTGTCAGTGGTATGCCGCAGATGCCTGCTTGACTCCATAATATGCTGCGCCTTGTGTGCTCCAACAAACAAGAAGGTCTTTTCTGGCGGGGATTGCCACGTTCAGGCCGGCGGTCGCTCTTGACCACCCGAAACACTTGAGCGAGCTTGATCACGCTCCATGGAGCTAGCTTTCGCGATTTCGGGTATTGACGTCACATATTGCAATTGCGCAAGACGCATGTCGCGTCGTCATTTCCGACCTCTCACTTAGGCCAACATGAAAGTTAGTTGTGCAGCATGGCTACATCCCTGCCGCTGGTGATGTCTCACCATATGACCGCTTATGCCACGACAGCAGGCAATGCTCAGGCCTGTCCTGTGTGGGCCGAGCCCCTATGTGCTAATTCAGGCTTATGGCGCTTAGCTACACTACCTCTGCTGCCGTCCAACCTCTCATGCATAGTGTGCTGACATGGGGACGTTTGCAATCATCCAACTGACACGACTACCAGAAACTCAGCGTATGCTCGCAAGACGTAGCACAGAAAGCAACATCTGACTGGTAGGAAAATAAATTCACTCTGAGCTGTCAGCCCTCAACGAATGAGATCGCAGGAAGAAGTCCTGTACATGTTCATGAAACTCCGTGAAGTGCTTTCTCGATGCTTCGCACCAGCATCTTGCAACATGGTAGGAATCATCGGCTTCTCGAGCTGGGGGGGGCCTCCTTACAATCTCCTGAGAGGACTATGCCTGGCCTGCAGCTCACGGGCCATATTCGCGCCAGAAGGCGCAGGTGACATGACCTTTGAGGCCGAGCTATTTCGAGCAAGCCTCTACCGTAAGACTCCGACTTTTCCTGCTCATTCTGCCGGGGATGCGTGCTGTCGAGAGTCCGCTTGTAATTACAAGGCTTGCGGTATTGCAGCACAAAGGCATGTGGAACCACATGGATGCAGCGGCTTGGCATGGCACGGTCCCGTATGGGACAGAGGCGTCCGCAGAGGTTTCGGCCGCCTGCGCAGAGCAGGGACTCATACAGTAGACCGTCATACTTGGTTACAATGTAACCCCTGCACCATGTGGCAAACTCTTGCAGCGCTGGATGGCAGCAGATGGCCAGCAGTAACCCTCCTCTCTTTTCTGCATGCGCGGCCCCGCTGCCACACAGCCACGAAGGGCCCAGCCCAACTGTCCTGGAAGGCCTTCACCTGCTACGAGAAGCTGAGCCCACGCAGCTGCTCACCACGTCGTGGATCACGAGAACCCAGGGGGGCTGCCGCAGGGTGAGGTGGACCAGGGTGGTGTCAAATCGCCCACAGCGAGTCCAAGGTCTTGCTCTCGGCTTTGGGAACCTCTCGCGAGTAATTATGGTTCAAGGTTTAAGGTGTTCTTGAAGAACTCGACTCACTTTGCGTTCTCATGGACGGAGAGCACTTGGAACCCGGCCTGCTTGCCACGCGTCTCAGCTATGCCCATTCTTCTGCGGCAGCTGGTGCCTTGGATTTCACGTTGAACTTACGAGGCATTGCATTGTGCGGCATCCAACAGCAGTGCAACACTTAAAGCAGTGTAGCTGCTTGTACAAGCAGGTTTCTCCGCGTGAACAGAAGCCTTTCTGGAAGTCATAGCAGTGCTTAGTGGTGAACTTGATGAAGCCATCTGACAGAGGAGCTGCTGATGCACGCAGCGCACTGACAGGAACAGCTGAAAGCCTGGAGCTTTCTCGTGCACGTATCGGCAGTGCTCCCCATTCTTGCAGCGGTCCTGTGGCACAAGTACGCTCCGAAAACCTCCCAAATCTTCACCAAGACGTGCTGTTCGCGAGATCCTCCTGGAATGCGAAGCAGTACTTCTTTCCTGGCACTTGCTGTACCACTACAGAACCGGCACTTTCCCAACACTATCCAACATTGCACAGAATTGCATCCGGTGCCTCTGCCAAGGTCACTCAACACCCTTGGAAACGGCCTGGACTCGATGGTACGAACATACCGAACCAGAGATCCGGCTGAGATCCTGAGTCCCGGGCGCGAGGGCGGGGCCCTTCGTGGCTCCCTCTACCATGCGAGGCAGCTGCTCCAGGGTGCTGAGACGTAGTTCGTCTTCTCTGAGGGGCCGAGTCAGAATCAACCGCTCCTTCAGGCATCGAGGATGCTCTCGTTTTTCTATACCTTGAAAGTTTGAAACATTCCCGAGGGTCCCAGGTCCGAATTTTGAACCAATTTCAAAATTAAAAAGGCGAGGCTCACTGTAGCGGGTTTCCTCGCTTGCCTTGCACACCATCAACTTCCCACCTGCGCATCCGAGAAAGTTCTGGTCGCGAGACAAGCATCTCACAGACTTCGCCTGAAAGAACCTGAAGGGCTCGTGCAGCTGCCTGCGCCCGTCCACACACGCACATTAAATTGCCAAATTCTTGACATGTCAAGACAATCTCACAGGAAGGTCTCCAACCGAGTTGGAGCATGACGATTCAGGCAACGGCCAGATGGGCATCATGTACATCAGCCGTGTCCGGACGCTTTAGCACCCGGCCAGGTGCATCACGAGCATCATCATGACAGTCATGAGCTGGGCATGAGGACCAGCAGCCGGCCAGGTGAGCATCATAAGCAGCCGGCTAGGCAAGCATCACGACGACCATCAGGAGCATCATTTGCTGTCGGGACATGAGGATTCAACAGCCGACTGCCAGGTCCTTGCGTTTCAGCGCCGGCAGATATCATGAGATGCATCTAGGCGCAGGCAGGCTGCAGGGGTTCCCATAAGCGCTGCTGCTGCCAGGCTGCCAGATTGGGCCATTGGGGGGAAAGGATGGGCGAGGGAGTGATCGAGATTGTGGTGCGGACTGCGGCTGTGCCTCCCAACCCTCCAAGAAGCGGATCACTGCTCTTCCGGTTGCGCGGCCATCAGTTCCAATGACCTCAACCCACTTCCCACCAATGGACAAAGCCACAGCTTTGCTTGTTTGTGACTATGGCTCTGGCGATGTAGAGCAGGCTTTTCCTTACTGTTGCCTCATGGTAAGAAACAACAGGCAACATCAAGAGCTGCTGAACTCACTCCTGCCTCGTCCAGATACATCTCCATCCATGCCGACACGTCCTTGGATCTGTGGTATTGCCAACATCAAATAAATTGTATGATCTCGATCTGCACGGCATCCCCCTGAAACTTGAAGCTGCAAGCCGAACTACGCAACCAATATCGAAGCCCTACACCCTGAACCCGAAAACAAAGCCTTGGGCCCTCAACCCGGAACGTACAAACCTAAACTCTAAGCAGCAAAAACTAAAACCCTGAACCTAAGCCTACACCAATAACTAGGAAACCGCGTCTTTCGCCGCCGTGGAAGGTGTTAAGAATATCAAAAACACATGGGGCTTCTGTCAGGTCATCTTGAAAAGATTTTCGCCCAACAGCGGGTCGCACCGGAGCGATGACGTGATGAACATGTAAGGACATGCAAGGATGATGTTCATTTTGAGCATGCTCGCGAAGACTACAATGCCCTCTAAACCGCAAGCTTGTCCGCCCGACAGAAGAGCCGGTCAGAATGCACGGGAACTGGAAAATACCAGTGGTTGCCCCCCCCCCCCGCCCTATCCCGAAAAAATCTATGGAGTACTGTAAAACGATCGCCTCGGCTTCCAACCGAGAGGCGGCTAGAACAAGCAGAAGCGGATCTGGTCTCTGTTTCTTTTGGCCAGAAACTTTCTGCAACCCACCCCCCCCCCGCCCCCCGCACAGTAGGACCTGCCCAGGATGGAAGAGCCGAAATCCGATGCGCCTCCCACAAAAACCACGCCAAAAACCACGAAACAACTAAACTTGCTCCCTTCCCCCCGTAAAACCATGGGACCCACCCCAAGACTTCTCTAGGACAGCCCTGCACCGTTCTTGGCCCTGCAGCGTGGGCCTCTTCTACCTAAGACCTCTTGAAACCTTCCCCGCAAGTGCCACACCCTGCCTTGGGCCAGCGGCGACTGCCGAGGCGGCGCACGCGGAAGCGTTTACAACTCAATTGTCGGAAACGCCTCCCAAGCCCCCATCCCAGGCAGAAAGGGCCCGAGTGCAGATAAGAAAAAGAAGAAGAAGGAGAACAAGAACAAAAACAAAACCAATAGTCAGAAGAAGAACAGCAACAGTAGCAGCAGCAGCAGCAGCAGGAGGAGGAGGAGGAAGAAGAAGAAGATGATGATGAAGAAGAAGGACAGATGCACATATATGTTACAATGTTGCAAGTATGGACAAATCTTCTTTTCCCCGGCTTGAACTTCCAAGTCAGGGCACAGCAGATAGCGCATGGAAGGGCAAGCCATCGAGGCAAAGCCGTGAATCCTGTGCAGAACACGGTGCAGCAGCGCAGCATGGATCGTGCTGTGCACTTCCGTTGTTCAGAAAAGCTGGGCCTGTCTTTCTCCGGACAGAAATGCTTCACGCTCCTGAGCCGACCAGCTGTTGCTACCCAGGACATGGCACAGCGGCATTTCGGATCATCATTCGGGGCAGATTACAGTTTGGGTGCGTCATGCTGCATCCCGGACTCTGAGTTTGTATGCTTGCCATATCGCGCCATCGAACATTGCAGCATTATTGCAGCTGATCATTGGGCACACTTGAGCGGCCCAGCCTTTTCAAGGCAAGGAATCCAAGCCTTCGTCTGCTGCGCGCAGCTGTGCCTCCCTGCACCCGAGAGGCACCCGCACCCGTGGATCTAGCATGATCGAGCAGGATCCGAGACTCTAGCTTTTTTCATACTGCTTCACAAATTTCACCGGCATCTGCCCTGTAGACATGATGGCATAGGCGAGCGGCGACGAAGAAGTGGATGGGTTGCAGCGGTGTGCCCAGCTTAAGTAGCTGCTGCAATGCCAACCTGGGCTTGGCTCCAAACTGCACGGAAGCCCAGCTGTCCCCCACTTTCCTTCTGAGCGCTTTCTGGCCGTCACTACTGACTTCCGGGAAAACCTCTAAAAACACTTTGGCCGAGCGGCAGAACCATCCATGAGTCATCCAAGCCACAGTGCTCAGTGCCCACCATTTCCACGTGCAGCGAGTCGCAGATCTCCCGCAAGCTCGAGGCGCGCACACCTCCCAGGGTTCTAGTTCTGGAGATCCATGTTCTGACCCGAACTCACCTTCTTCTTCAGTCCTGCCTGAATCGTGAATCAGCGTTTTGTCATCTGGTGTTTAGCCCTTCTCAGCCCTTCTTGCCTTCTTTGCCACTTGCGAGAACTTGTCGCTGGGCCGCGAGGCGAAGATCTGCATAGGACCTAAAACATCGAGCTGCTTCTTTCCGCCGTCTGCAGCTTGGGCAGCCATGCCCCAAAAAGGAAGCGTCTGAGAACTCATTTGCTGAACCCGTACAATGCAGCCAGGCTTCCTGAGCACCTCGGGCACCTCCAGCCCCGCAGCCTCTTAGAGTCTATGTCGGTATCCTACAAGGGGGGGGGGGGGGGGTTTTAGGGTTTAGGGTTTAGGGTTTAGAGTTTAGGGTTTGGGGTTTGGGGTTTGGGGTTTGGGGTTTGGGGTTTAGGGTTTAGGGTTTAGGGTTTAGGGTGCACCATCGGTGTACATCGCATCTGCCTTGCAGTGCATCGGCAGGATGAGTTCCAGGTCTGCGCTGCCGTGGGTCACGGCGCAGCAGGGCCTACAGTGACAGTCCAAAGCAGGCTAGAAGCCCCAGGAAGAAAAGGAGTAAAAAAGAAAGACTTTACAGGAAGCATGGGAAACCTCGGGGTGGCTTTTTGCCCGCACTCTGTGTGAAACGATAAAGACTACAGCCTTTGGCAGTCAGCAAGTTTTATGAAATTTGAAAAAGCAGAGGCCAGATACCGACGTCGAAAGAACTGTTCCCGGAATCTGAATCGCCCAGCTTTCGTTTCTAGCGCAACGCAGGTGCCCATCCTCTGTGAATCATGAGCTCCTGAGCACCGCGCTCACAAGAGAGCATGTGGATCATAATTCTGGGTAAACAAACTCGACCCACGCTAATTCAAGAACAAGGCTCGTAGGCAAGCAAGGGCAAACCCATCAAAGGGGCCGTCATCAGCTTCGTCCTGACCAGGGCCCTACCAGTAGTTTGCAGAAGACACTTCAACTAGGCTCTGCACATCCCAACACATCTCTGCACTGCTATGATCCGACTGCTCCGGCCTCATTCCACTGAAAAGCACCAAGCGAGCAGTCTGTGGCTTGGAAATCCCAAAGCGGACAAAGTGCAGGACAACACCTTAGACTCAGACCGTAGACTCACAGGTGGCCAACTGCTCAGGCTCTCATTATCTCATTGCTCTCATCAGCTACAGTATGCCACAACGTGTGCTACAGCACTGGTTTGCATGCGGGTGTTTCATGTTGCTTCGGGTCTTTGCCGATTGCTTCTCGTCTTGTTGACGTCAGGGCACCGTTCGGAGTACTGGGCCTTCTTCTGGAAATATGCCACGTCAGCACATTCTCAAAGGGTGTGCTGACCCCGACCATCGCAACACCCGAGAGGCACGCGGCTGAGGCCCATGCCAAGGCATCCTTCTCACCGGAGGCATCCACATGCTCATGAAGCAGAATGCTCGCCTTTGTCTTGAACCACTCGTAGCTGGTGAAAAATGTGACCAGCGAACATGTCTCTTGCACCAGAACAAAAGGATAGTTCTGGAAGCATGCTCGAAGGCCACCTTTCCCGTAAAGTTCACGGAAAGTCTGCCACAGCCCCTTGTGTTCCACGCGTTGCACTGCAGCAATGTGATCTTCACGTCCCAATCGCATATTATACAAGGGCGTATGCAGTGTGGCCTGCACAACTCCAGCTGCCGAAGCAGCACCTGCTTCGCATCGCAGTGGATTCTCGGTTATCGCAGGATACTCTGCTGCCAGCATATGCAAGGACAGTCGTGCGTATGTGTATGCGTGGAACATGGACATGGCAACCACGGCATTGGCGAAGTATGGACCCGTTGTCTTGATGCCTATTCCTCGGACCCCACGTTGCTTGTGCTCCTCACGCAGAGCGTCCCACATTCCAGAGGGATGCACACGAAATGCATGCAGTGGGCTGACGACTTGTCGGCGGAAGAGACGCCAAGGGTTGCGCATGGCTGTCTCGGCCGAGACGAAAGCCTTAGCTTTGGCCAGCATCATGAGCTTCTTCGCCGCAAAGGCGACGGACTTCGCAATCCACAGACATTTGAACTTCAGCGCAGCGAGGGCCTGAATGACTGCCACACCACCTAGTGAGCGTAGCAGGCCAGTCATTGCTCGAACCAGCCCTGCTGAAAATGCTGATTCCTCCTCCAGCGTCAAAAGCCTCAAAGCTACAGCGTCTGCTGATGTGCTTTTCTCGATCCATGCACAAAGCTCCTCAAACGAGACGGTATTCTGACTTCCACCACCGCTAGTTGCTACCTCTGCAAAAACCCGACGCTGATCCTCCTCGCTCTGCCTGGAAAGCGGAAGCTGCAGTGCCGTTGCCAAAGCCACGAACTCCTGAAAGTTTAACTCAGATGTTCCATCATTCCCCAAACGAGCATAACGGCCGTACTCGGCGTGAAGAGCTGCAAGCCGTGGCGACATATGCTCTCCCTCTGCCATCTTGCCACGTCAAGCTCACATCGCGCCACATGCAACCGTCAGCCATCAAGCGATTGGGCACCGCGGGTTCATTGCAGAACAGGTTGACAACGATTGAAACTGAGCTTCGGCTCCTTAGACGAGGCTGCTGTCATGTGACTGGTGGACTGCGCCGATCTGCGCTGCATGCTACGAGGCTTTCATGCCACCTTGAGCCATCCTGAGTTTCAAGCCCGAAGAGCCCGGCAAATGGGAATGCGGCCTCAGTCCTTGCCTTTCAATTGGTGCCCCCTCCGACTCAAATTTCAGATTCGGAATCCCGCCTCCCTTTCAACGGTTCCGCTTCCAGCGAGCGACAAAGGCTTTCCAGGGCATCGGCCAGGGAGCCTGGCGCGAGGTCGGGTCCCAGCTGCGTAAGATATTACCCGTTCCATAAAATACTCGGGAAGATGCCATCCACACCTGCGTCCGCAAGCGTTGCATCACTGATGCCGGTCAGCTCGGTGCAGAACTTTGTAATCGGAGTCCTCTGGTTTTTTCTGGAAAGTCTCGCTTCCAACAACCTATCACGGTTTGGGCTAGGACCTAGGATTCCATGCTTTGTGCCAGTGACGTTGACGCATGGACTCTACACAAGATGCGACAAACATGGAGTTAAGGCCTGGCTATGTCGCTCACATGGGCTCAGCTTCGGCCAAGTTCTGCGTCCTTTGATTCTTGCAGTAGTGCTGCCCTTCGACGACGGCAGCCATGGCCTGGAATCAGATCATTCTGGCTTTGTGCCTCAATGGCAGGGTTTCAAGGTAAGGGTTGTGGTTTCTTCTTGCATCGCACTTGCACTGCTACCTTGCTGGGTCTCATCGCCGTGATGTGCCACTGTGCACATCACAAGCCGCAGGCCTCCTACTGAACACCTTCCTTATGATGCGTCCCGACAATAGCACTACTTAATACTCTGCTCCCATGTCAGCTACTACAGGCTCGGGTGTCTTGATCAGGAGTTAACAGTTCCCCCGTCTCGGCCAGACATCCTGAAACCCCGCTCCAATTCTCGAGCTGGTTACAAGGGAGCTGTAGCAGTTTGGCTTTCAGGAGCTCCCCGCATGCCACAGCCTGAACCCTGGACAGTGGGAGCAGACCCTACATCGTGTCCCGCAGGTTTTGAATCCTCTTCCTGACTTCCATCCACCCAGCTTCGGACGCCACCGGCGAGGATGATAGTACGAGGACTAGGTGGAAGCATTGAAAATTGAAATTGACATGACTCCAAAACGAATTTCAGAAAAGGGAATGTGTAGCAGTGTAGACGTCCAGCAAAGAAGGATAGGCGACACACACTCTCTCTTTCTCTCTCTCTGCACTTGTCATGAGCCATCCTTCGTGTCATAGATGACGTATGAGAACTCGATAATCTCCACGTCATCGCTATGGACCTGCTATTGACAGAACCCTCAAAAGCAACTACAATAATGAGTGAATCATCGCTGTGTCCCACAGCTGCGGCAAGCTTTAACACCTCACCTGACGATCTTCACCATCATCACACGTCCATTCGAAGTCCTTCGTAGAGGCAACTTGAAGGCACGTACGATTCTAGCTGCACTGAATCAGCAGATAACTCGGGAGATGAAACCATGTCCATGCATATGTAAATCTCGGCTTTCGCCGGACTGCACCATCGAGCTCGTGGCACGGGCCGCCTCACAGTAGAGGTGACAGACTGACGGTCAAGGATGCCGCATGCTCAAAGTAGATGGCCCCCAAAGCTATCTAGCCAGCTCCCCTGCTGAAGCACTCAAGCATGAACAGACAGACACTGGGAGTGTGGCGAGGGCTTCGCTGGCCTGAAGATCCCCATCTCAGATGCAACTTCAAAACTCAATGTCCAACTCTGGGGCTCTGGCAGGGAAGGACTAGCTTGCAACTTGGCCTTCCAAGCATCCCACGAGGCATAATAGCTGAACAAATGAACACTGACGAACACTGCGGTATCGGAATGACCATGTCTGATCCTTCCTAAACTCTGCGGCTGTCCGAACATCAGGTGCCTCCGCGCCATCACGAGAGTCGCTCGAACCGCGTGAAGCGGGGCCTTCGAGACCTACGAGGCACATGCAGGCTGGTGACTTGGCCTGGGCCATGACCAGAAGCAGAAAAGCACGCCCAAGTACTGCGATGAGCCTGGCTCTTGTGGGTGGGAGAGCGCCTCACGCCTGCAAAATGCGAGACAAGAAGCCCTGAGAAGGCATACAAAAACTTCCAGGCTCACAAGAATCGGAAACACATTCCCCAGGGGCCAATTCAAAAAATTAAACAACAAAAAAACTTAAAAACCAACGCGTCTACAGAGAGAGGTTGGGCCTGGAGCTGCGGTGCCTCCAGAAGATGGCCCCGAGCAGCACCAGCGCGGCGCCCAGGGGCCGGGAGAGTCTCGAGACCGCGAGGCCCATAATTTTTGCCCCCCAAAAAAAAAGAAACCTTTTTGAAACTTCCTGACCTCCTGTTGTCCTCTGTTCCATTCTGTTCTGCTCCGTTCCATTCCATTCTCTTCTCTTCTGTCCATGCCCAGCCTCCGGGAACTTTGGAAACAGCTGCGGGAGCAGGCATTAAAAACGTGCAGAGTCAAACGGTTCAAACACTCTGGGAACACTGCCGAGGGGGGTGTAGGCACCTTGTCCTCCTCTTTGGGAGGGCGTAAGAAGATGGACCTGGATGAGTTCTGCGAGCCGCTTCCGCTGAAAGCTTCTTCGAAGTGTCTTGCGAGCTGCAGCCGGCCGAGCTTGAGGGGAGCACGCAAAGAGCGAACCCAAAAACATCACAATCATCCAGGCGAACAGACCATAGACCTCAAACACCGAGACAATACATGCTGCCCATGCTCGTGCATGTTGCTCACCTCTGCACCCACGAGACAATGCAAACTTTCCTGACAGCGTATGATATAGTATACCATGGTAACCCCCAAACCCATAAAGTATGAGTCTTGAATGATATTCTTGTGAGTGTACAAAACACTCTGTTTCACCTTCATCGCACAGACTTCGGTCCGCATACCCCAAAACCCTGTTCTAGTTATTCAGGCCCCTATACATATATACATAAATATAAATATAAATATGAATATATATATATATATATATATATGTATATATATATATGTATATATATATATATGTATATATTAATTTACATTTGCTCTTTTTGTCCACGAATAGCGTCCGATTGTGCCCGAGGCCGGTGCCGCGAAGGACGTGGCCGAGGCCCGAGTGTCCAGGCAAAAGGGCGCGTGGGGCAGCGGGCAGCCTTCAGTTGGATCTGCGGATGCTCTGCGAACAGAACCCGCGCAGAGAAACAGAGGGGCCCTGAGAGAAGAGCAAGCGGACAACCGTCATCCAAAAACACGCTTGCGCTGGCTACCTGTCTATACAACTGATGGTATGAGTGTCTGGGTGCGTTGCAGACCGTCCCATTCATGATGTGCTGCCTCATATAAAACAGTGTGACCCAAAGCTACAGGAGCTGCATCATCCCTGCTTCCTCACCGAAACCTCACAGGCACTTGAGGTAGCAACCCCCAAGCTTGTACAGCCAACTCGGCGGCTGTTTTGATGTCGTTCCGGTCGAGATTTGCCCTGGGCCAAGATCTGCGACGCGCACACGTTGGCATCTTGCTGGTGCACGAAGTCCTGCCTGGCCGCCTTGCACAGCATCAGGGCCGTGTCACCTTTCTAGTCGGGCTCGGAAACTTCACTACTTAGTTACTTTGGCGACTTGGAGGCAGCACTGCGCCCCTTCCAAATCTTGTTCTGCTCGTCAGTGACTTGCCACCTCTCACAACATCGGGACAACTTAGGATATTTAGGGTTAAGACCTGATGACCTAGTCTTAGAATGCCATCGAGGCAACCGAGAACCAGGCTGGAATTGGTTGAAATCCAGGGTGGCATTTGCTACCTGCAACAGCATCGAAGAGGTCACCGCCATATTGCACGAATTGCACGATCTTGCCATGAGTTTGCATGAGGCGCGCTAAACTTGAAGTGACTTCGGCCTTTGCGCAGTTCGTTGAGTAGACTTTTCGCATCTCTTCCGCGTTCAGCCAGGACCTCGGAGGTGTGCACAGGGGTGTGACCCGGCTGTTTGTCGCTTGAAGCTTAGCCATGCCCAAAGCGGTTTTGAATGAGATCCCCACGGAGGCTGACATCGATTAATGAACTTCACATCACCTACAGGACCAGTACAGTCAATGCAGCCTGGTCAGCCTGCCTGACACGAGACAGCCCACAGCCTCCAGCTGAGACCAGAGTCGGCCTAAGCTGGAAATCACCCTTGGCTGCAGCCGCGTGCGGACCCGCAGCTAAGGACCCCGCAGCACCAGGCCGTGCAGGAGCACCCATCGGGCCATTTTACTGGAGAGCTCAAGGCTCCCCACGATGCTTTCAGCCGGTTACAATACGCATGGCCCCGGTGTGTCACGGTGTGTGCTGGGTTCGGCTGCCACGTCCAGCATGGAAACACTGCTCTTCTGGACTTCCTGTTGCAGCCTCATCTGGCCCATCGTCGTCGATGTTGAGTCTGCATAGTCACTACAACGGGTAGTGGGGGGGCTAGACTGTGGACGCGTAGCGTTGACGTTGGCAGAGCTGGAGACCAGAAGAGCATGCTGACATCGGCATCTTTGGTAAGCCAAAAAAGAGTCTGCTGCCATGAGCCTCCCCCTTCCCTGCTGCAAGGAGCTGCAAAATGGGCCGACCTAAGGGGCTCTTTGCTGCGATGTTGGCCAGCGGGAGGCCCCGTAGCACCTGGAAGACTCCGGCAATGTCCGTTGAGGTGCCCTGCGTGACTTGGTGCTCATTTCTAAGCCCTGGGCCCATTCCAAGTCCGATCCGGCTGGCCAATTGCCGGCCAGCTGCAAAACGAGGCGGCGTGCGCACCACAACTCACCGGTTGCACCGGAGTTCCCAAATTGGCTCACGCAACTCTCACAGACGCCTAGTGGAAAACAAAACTTGAGTTTGTTCATCACTCGTCCCTCATAGCAGGACGACAACATTCACACACCCAAGGCATGCCATGCAAACATGAAAAACGGTTCCACTTGTGCCTTGATGGACTCACCACGTACCACAAGTCCGTCTGTACCAACTGGGCCAATACGAAACGTCCTTAACCGGTCTGCATGCAGACCGCACTGACCGCACCGTGAATCATGCAAGGGGAAACTCAGATTCCCAGATTGAGACCCTTAGGTGGTGACACGAAGCAAGCAACCCGAGCCAGCACCTGCCCGCATTGCAGTGCAAATTGGCACATTGGTGCGGGCTGACATGTTGCCTCCGGCCATCGCAGGATGAAAAGGCACGTCTCCGTATCCTGCAGCTTCATCTCTCTCAACATTGCTAGATGCTAGATAAGCACACAAAGCAAGCATCCGCAAGCTGTACCTTGCGGGGCAGAGTCCCCACATTTAGCTTAGCAAGCAAGCGTGATACCATTCTGAGTTTACTACCAGGTTTTCGAAGCTTACGACCAAGTCAAGGTCATTGCAAAATACGAGTACCTCTAGAAGCATTCGCTATGCAAATGATCTTGATCATACAACATCCGTAGCAGCCTGACTGAAGCACAAAGTTACTTGCCGCCATTTGAAGAGAGCTGCGGGTCCTCATAGGGTACCAGCAAAGCACCGGCTAATGAAGTCTCCGTGGCCTCAGCGATCCGCAGAATCCACAGCAGAAGAACCAACGCACAACCACACCATGCCGGCCACACCTCCTCTGGCAGTTTGGATGACGAAATCCTGGTTGGGGTGAGACATGGTTTTGCGGAGCGGCTCTCGATTTAAGGGGTGCTGCCGGAAACCTGCACGTATCTTGATGTCGTCTTCATGTAATAATTTAATGTAACATCATGTAATGGTGTTGAGTTGCTGAACTATGTTGAACTAATGCCACGAAGCAGCCTGGTTGCAGGCTGCTCCGTGGATCTTGGGCTGCAGTCGCCTTCTCTGACATTGTTCGAGGCCTTGGTCCACTTGACCCTAGCGGGAGCCCCATCTCCGCACACCGAAGGAGTTCATATTGCTGTGTGCTAGCCTAAGTGCTCGACAGCTAGCTCCTCGTTTTGTCCAGCACCCTGCAGCACGTCTACCTGCACACCAGCTATAAGCGTGAACGCCACGCATTCGATGCAGACCTACACACACACGCACACACGCACACACAAGACAGAGAGAGAGAGAGGCACACACACAGCCAGGAATTGTTTGAGCCAACGTTCCATAGACGCTTTTGAAGCTTGCTTCAGCCTCCTTCTGGGATGCTGCATCTGGCTGTGGCCACACGAGCACCTCACTCCGGCGAGCCCGGCAGCGGTGCCATTGGCGTAGCAAAGTCCATTCGCAGGCAGAGCTACGCAGCTACTTGCCGCGGCCTTGACAGGTCGGGCTTGGCGATAACCAGGCCTCGAAATGAGCAGCAAAGGCAGCAAAGAGAGAAATGTATTAATGGCAGTAGTACTAGTAGTGTCTCAGATAATTACCCTCTCCGACATTTTCACTTCCCTTCTTTTCGCCTGGCCTGGCCGAGCCAGCATCCGTAGCGGACGGTGCCCATCCCTGGGACCCCCTGAACTGCCATGGGCGCCTATGGACTCCCATGAAACTTTCGTGCTTGTGGACCGATTATTAGACCGCATATGCACCCCCCCATGGACCGTCATGGACAAGTCCTGCACCCTACAGCCGGCGCGCACGACTGCTTTGAAGCGCCAGCAGATCTGGCAGGGCAAACCAAAGGGCGTTCAGAAATCACGCCCACGAATGATTCGATGTACCATGGTCCCCTCTCAACCCTATGCCCCTGCAAGCACGCCCCTTTTGAACCTATGGATATGGACGCCCAGATCTCCCCCCCAGTGCGGAATACCACAGATCGTCGAGACTTCGGCACGGCATGCTCCACGCCCCAGGATGCCCCAGGCCGGGCGGGTCGCTTAACCCCCTAAGAGCCGGGCACATGTGAGGAGCCCGGCCGAGTCATCAAAAGCGATGCTTGAAACTGGAATAATCCTTAGCCGTTGGTGGAGTATTGGCGCCAGTGCATCTTATCTGTGTGGTGAAGTGTTGCTGCAAACGCGGATTTTCTACGAAAGCTTCGTTGCCTTTTTGTTGAATCTGTGTTGAAGATATTGCCCTCAGGGCTCGAGCCAAAGAGAATGAAGCGCCTCGAGAACTGCACGCTGCAACGGAGCAAGTGCTGAGTCCTGAAGTGTCTGGCATCCGGAAGTCAGCAGTCTCCAACCTCTTCAGTGACTCTTCAGGGTAAAAAATGTCTGTTAACTTGCTTGCCTGCAAGCTCCAAAGCATCACGGCCTCTTCTCCCTGATGGAATGCTGGTTCCGACTCAAAGATCAGACAGGCATCCGTCGATGCGTTGAGAGGTGTGATACCGTCGCTGAAAAGGAGCGCTTCACACGATCTTGGCTGCTGCAAGCGCCCTATGGCTTGGCAGCTCAAGATACCTACTTATGTACAAAGTCTGGACTGGGTCCTAGGTCCTAGGCATCTTGCCCAAATCCCGACATGCTTGTGTTGTGAAGCACGGATTCAGACGCCACACCGAAGAGTTTAGCAGCGTGGCCACGGAGCGGCAGCGCAAGAACATCAAGAACTCATTCAGCTCGTCGAAGCCTTGCCCTCCGCAGGACTCCACCGTGTGCTGCACTTCCACTCACACCGCCAAGTGGCCCCTTGCTTCGCACTCGAAAAGAAACGGAGCCTGACAACGCCATCCTCATCTCCAAAGGGAGGCCTTCAAGCACCCACACACTTGGCAAAGGGGTTGAGACCCAAACGTGTGCGTGGATTTGTCGCCCTGCGCTGGCTGAGGTCCATGCTGGAATACGTCGCGTCGCAGATAGTGACGGATCTTCGGACGCACAAGCGCATCTCTACATCACGATTGCTACAACTCTGCGAAAGAAAAGCATGATGCCTGGACAGTAGCACGCGCGACATGAAGCTGATGTCTTTTCCCTGAGCAGATCGGACACTTTCACGGCAAGCTTGCAGAAACTCTGTGCAGAGTTTTCCAACGAATCAGCCTCCACATTGCAGTTTTCCAACGAATCAGCCTCCACATTGCGGCAGACGAAGAGGTTTGGAAGGTGGTCCAACATGCCCCTGCAAGCGGAAGAGACCCAAACAGCCTGCTGAGTGTGCACAATGCCGCGGGTTACGCTGCCCCTCGCCTCCTCGTTGTCATAGTCCACGTTCCCGCTGAGGATGGCAGCTCCACATACCCCAATATCGCAATGCACACATCTCATCCGTCGCGGCGTCCTCTGCAGGAGCAGCTTCTTGTTGTTGATCTCTGAAAGCTGGCATGGCAAGGGGAGACTCGGTGTCCCGCATTCGCGCTTCAAATTTCAGGAGCAACTAGTAACCAGGCCTGCACTGCCCGATCCCGTGCCGTTGGTTCCACAACATACTGCTCTCACTAGACACATACTTCACGCCTTGGCGCGGCGGTGTGCACCTAAACTACCTTGGGCACATTGTTTCGGCCTCGCGGCATGCAGTGTTCCATGACTCAGTGACTGAGCCTGGGCGCTCTCAGCACTCAACCCCGGGGACCTCAGCACATGAAGGCTACCCTCCACTTCAGACATGTAGAGTCCTGCAAAGGGATGCCCGTCCATTCCTTATGCTTTCTCCGGCTTTTCATCAGGCCTCGGCCGCGCCGCAAGTGCAACAGCCCTCTACCAGGTCATGAATTCTGAATCGGCCATGTACAGTAGCTACCGGTCACCCAGTGCCGAGGTCCGAACGCTGTCGCGCTGGATGGCTTGGATGACGGTTTGGATGCCTTGTCATCCTCTTCGCTACTGGACGAGGACGTGCTCGAGGCTTCATCCTCTTCGTCCTTGTCCACTGGCTGATCGGAAGCATGATCAGAGTCTTCTACTGCCTCCTGGCAGTGCAGCTCAGACCCTGCAGTGGTTGGGACAGCACCGCAGAGCACCGCACAGCAAGCAGTGTGGAGGAAGAGATGATCTTTGCTGAAACTGCACTCCACTTGTATCCCACAGCCTCCGACAGCGAGAGTGCTTCATGCGCTTCTTTTGCATCCGAGGCCACTCCTCAGCTGACGGCTCAGCGACGAGCACCCAAGTTTGCGGCAAACCTGAGCAAAACCGGAAAATCGAGGAGCTACCCAAGTCCAACAAGTATTGCCCCAGAGTCCCGCATCGTCCACTGGCTTCTTCCTTCTCCTTCTTAGCCTTCTCCTTCGCTTGCGTCGGGTCCTGCATCTCTAAACGAGCTCCAATAAGAGCCACCCAGTGTTGACCGTTCATAACCCACTGTGGGCCGAGTCACCGCGATTCGTCGGTCCGCTTCTCCAGATGCGAGGGCTTGTCTGCGTCGTCGTCTGAGTCTTCTCGTGCCTGCCAACTGCCACGAACGAACTGCCAGATGGCAGGCATGCTCACTGGGGCGCCTCCAGTCGGGCGGTTGAAGCACGCCCCATGATCCTTCGCACGGTCACACAAAAGCAAACACAGAGAGACAGACAGAGCACGGAAAGACACACACACACACACACACACACATGCCGTCGCAAGCAGTTGACGGGCACAACGAAAACATCAAAAGACATCACAAGATCTCTGCCGCTCGTACGGAGTTTGCGGCTGCCTCCTGTCGCTCTTGTCAGTTCTGGCGGATTTCACGAGCATGATGTTGTTGGCACCTCTTCCTGACCTTGTCAGCCATCGGACGCATCACAGTTGCCTTCCCGATGCCTCGAACTCTCAGTGTCTCATAATATCTCGTGAGGAGGATGCTTGAGTCTTTCCAGCGCACTTGTGGCTGATTTTTTCGCCGCCTCCTGCTAAGCCAGAGGCTGCGCAATGAGCTGAGCTCAGCCGCAGCTTCAAACTTCAAAATGTTTACAAGCAGCTGCTCCTTCTCCATGTGCTCTCGGTAGAGCGCAAGGGCATCGTCATCCATCTCCTGGAAACAACGTCCGTCTACTCGTCTTGCACATGCCGTCTTTGGCTTGCTTCGCTGTTCTTCTGCGAACTTCTGGTTCAGGTCATCGCTCGACGGGGGTCCTTGATGCCTGCCATTCTCTGCAAGAACCTTCTGGCGTTGGCAACCTCAAGCAAATTAAACCTTCCAAGTTGCTTCCGTAAACTCACCTGAAGCCGAGAAGCGGAGGAAGCCCGAAAGGTCTCAGGTGCCGACAAAAGTTTCAAGCTGCTCCCGCCTGAGGCTTTGGCGGATGCGAGCACCCAAGGACTCCCGGATACTCCCCAGGTCCCTTTCGCGTAAGCAACCGGCAAACCCGGCTTCGGCGCCTGCGGATTGCTCAAGTCCCCACCCCACAGAACTCGCAGCGACGTGACAGGGGAAAAACTCATTCGATGCCGGGGCAATTTTGGAGCTGAGGGCCTTGGCCTTGCTGTCCTCCTGGCAGGGGCAGCACCATGCACCGGAGCAGCATGGAGCAGCGAAAAAGCAGTGAGCCAAGCACTGAACATGCACAGGTCAGCTGCAAGCGAAACTTACGTCGGCGACGCCATCTCAGCCATTTCTGCCTGCCACCATATCCGCCGACCCCTAGCGGGGCGGCGTCAGTGAAGACCCATTACCCCTACCACCTACTCCACCCCATCCAAAGCTCGACCGGCCCCCAGTGCATGCCCCCCCTCTTGCCCGGAGCCATGGGTCCATGACAAGCGTGGGCGGCGGGGCAGGGTGCGTGCGGGGTGGGGGGGGTTGGGGGTGAGGGGCATGCGGGGTGCGTGGGGGGCTTGGGCAAGGGAAGGAGCGGGGGGCGGGTGTGTGGGTGGTGGGGGTAGGGCAAGCGGGCGGGCATGCACTGGGAGGAGCCATGGGTGCATGAGAAGCATGGCGGGGTGCGTGGCGGGCTTGGGCAAGGGAAGGAGCGGGGGGCGGGGTGCGTGGGTGGTGGGGGTAGGGCAAGCGGGCGGGCATGCACTGGGGGCCGGTCGAGTGGAGTAGGTGGTACCATGGTCCAGTGAGGGCCGGGTGCGTGGGGGGTGGGGGTGGGGGCGGTGGGGGGTGGGGGTGGGGGTTGGGGGCCAGGAGCCATGGGTCCATGACAAGCGTGGGCGGCGGGGCAGGGTGCGTGCGGGGTGGGGGGGGTTGGGGGTGAGGGGCATGCGGGGTGCGTGGGGGGCTTGGGCAAGGGAAGGAGCGGGGGGCGGGTGTGTGGGTGGTGGGGGTAGGGCAAGCGGGCGGGCATGCACTGGGAGGAGCCATGGGTCCATGAGAAGCATGGCGGGGTGCGTGGGGGGCTTGGGCAAGGGAAGGAGCGGGGGGTACCCCCAACCCCCACCCCCACCCCCCACCACCCCCACCCCCACCCCCCACGCACCCGGCCCTCACTGGACCCATGGCTCCTGGCCCCATTGGCTCATGGTCCACGGCCCATGGATGTGGCTTCTCAGCTGACTTTAAAGGGCCGCGCATGCCCGGGCCCTCCGCCCGCTCCGCCCGCTCCGCCCGCTCCGCCCGCTCCGCCCGCTCCGCCCTCCGCCCTCCGCCCTTCCAGCCCCGCCTACTCCCCTCTGGCCCATGCTCCCACTCTCCATCCCCTTGACCTACCCCTCATGGACCCAGCTCCCTCCCCCTTACCCCTCACACACCCATGCCCCTCATGGACCCATAGCTCCTGGCCCCATGGCTCCCATTCCTTGTGGTCCACGGCCCAAGCAGGTGGCTTCTCCGCCCCTACCCCCACCACCTCTATCCTTCCCGCTCCGCATACTCCTTCCCTTGCCCAAGCCCCCCACACACCCCGCATGCCCTTCACCCCCAACCCCAACCCTACCCCCACCACCCACGCACCCCGCCCCCCGCTCCTTCCCTTGCCCAAGCCCCCCACGCAACCCGCCATGCTTCTCATGGACCCATGGCTCCTCCCTTGCCCTTGCCATTTTCTCCAGCCACTTTCCACTTACCTCACCTCCTCCACCTACCCCTCCACTTCCCTGCCCCCCCCCCTTCCTCCCCGCTCTCACCGCTCTCATCGCTCCGCCTCCCTATGCCCCCGAGTTACTCCTAATCCAACACCAACCCTCACTCCCCCCTCCACAGTCACCCCCCCCCCACCCCACCCCCCACCCCCCCCACCCCACCCCCCCACCCCGCCCCCCCCCCCCCAACCCACCCCCACCCTTCCATGGTCCTCCCCGCCCCCACAACCCCGCCCCCGCCCCCCACCCCCACCGCCCCCCCCCACCCCCCACCCCCCGCACACGCCCCCCACGCCGACTCGCTCCCCTTCCCCTGCGTGTCCTCTTCCTTCCACCCCCCTCTCTGTGCTCCCATCCCTGCCGTCACCGCTCTCATCACTACCCCCTCCCCACCCTCTGCCTATACCCATCCTCCTTCCCTGCCACTTTTTCTCCACCCACTCTCCATACTTCCTCACCTCCTGCACCTACCCCTCCACTTCCCCTCTCACCCCCCACTCCCCCACCCCCAGGCCTCTACTCCGCCTGACCAATGTCGCCCGCCGCCCCTCCCCGCTCTCACCGCTCACCGCTCTCATCACTACCCCCTCCCCACCCTCTGCCCTTGCCCGTCCTCCTTCCCTGCCACTTTTTCTCCAGCTACTTCCCACTTACCTCACTTGCCCTTGCCACTTTTTCTCCAGCTACTTCCCACTTACCTCACTTGCCCTTGCCACTTTTTCTCCAGCCACTTTCCACTTACCTCACCTCCTCCACCTACCCCTCCACTTCTCCTCTCACCCCCCCCCCCCCCCCCCCCACCCCCCCCCCCACTCCCCTGGCTCGTACTGCGCATGTCAGGATTCCAATCCAGCCCGCCGCCCCTCCCCACTCTCACCCCCCACCCCCCCTCCCACCCCCCCCCACCCTGCCGCCTACTCTGCCCCCCCCTTCCTCCTGCTTGTTCCAACTTGGCGTCCCCCACACAGCCCCCCCCCCCACCCCCCCCCGCCCCCACCTCCCCCCACTCCCCTGTCCTCACTGCCTTAGGCCGAGCCCCACCACCTCCGCCGCTCCTGACCAATCCTAGTGTTTTAGGTGTTTTTCCATGCACGGCTCCGCTTCCCTATCCCCCGAAGTTAACTCCCGCAATCCCACACCAACCCTACTCCCCCTCCCAGTCACCCCCCCCCCACCCCACGCCCCCCACCCCACCCCCACCCCCGACACCCCCACCCCACCCACCCCCTACCTCCCCACGCCTACTCCGCCGCCCCTTCCCTTCCATGGTCGTCCCGCTCTCACCGCTCTCCCCCGCACCATCCCCACACCCCCTCCACCCGCCCGCCCCTTCCTGCAACCCTTGCAACCTGTTTGCTTCCTTCACTCCACTCCCCCGCACCCACCCACCCCACCCCCCACTCCCACCCCGCCCCCACCCCCCCCACTCCCCTGTCCCTCCGCCTGTGTGGTTTTCCAATGCACGCCCGCCCTGACCGCCCTCCCCGCTCTCACCGCCCTCATCTCCGCAGTTACTCCTGATCCAACACCAGCCCTCACTCCCCCCCCCCCCCCCCCCCCCCCCCCCCCCCCCCCCCCCCCCCCCCCCCCCCGACTATCTCTAGTGTTTTAGGAACCCCAACGCACGCCCGCCCTAACCGCCCCGCTCTCACCGCTCTCATCGCTCCGCTTCCCTATGTGCCCGAGTTACTCCCTAATCCAACACCAACCCTCACTCCCCCCTCCACAGTCACCCCCCCCACGCCCCCCACCCCACCCCACCCTCAACACCCCCACCCCACCCCCTACCTCCCCACGCCTACTCCGCCGCCCCTTCCCCACCATCTCCTTCCATGGTCCTCCCGCTCTCACCGCTCTCCCCCGCACCATCCCCACACCCCCTCCACCCGCCCCACCCTGCAACCCTGCAGCCTATTTGCTTCCTTCACTCCACTCCCCCGCACCCACCCACCCCATCCCCCACTCCCACCCCGCCCCCACCCCCCCCCCACTCCCCTGTCCTCCGCCGGTGGGCCTCCAATCTTTAGTGTGTTAGGGGTTCCAATGCACGCCCGCCCTGACCGCTCTCCCCGTCACCGCTCTGATGCCTCCGCCTCCCCCTCCACTTCCCCCACTCCCCCACCCCCGCCCCCCCCCCCCCCTCGCCTGCCTGTTGGCCCCGACGACCCCCCCCCCCCCCCCCCCTCTCCCCCCCCCCCCCCCGGCCTAGCCCCACCCCCTACGCCGCTCCTCACCAATCTCGAGTCTTTCAGGGGTTCCAACGCACGCCCGCCCTGACCGCTCTCCCCGCTCCCACCCACCCCACCCCCCACTCCCACCCCGCCCCCACCCCCCCCCACTCCCCTGTCCTCCGCCTGTGGGCCTCCAATCTTTTGTGTTCTAGGGGTTCCCTGACCGCCCTCCACATGCCCAACCCTCACTCCCCCCTCCACAGTCACCCCCCCACCCCCCCACCCCCCTCACACGCAACGCCTACTCCGCTCCACCCGCCCCCCCCCCGACCCCCACCCGCCCCCACCTCCCCCCCACTCCCCTGTCCTCCGCCCGTAGGCCGAGCCCCACCCCCTACGCCGCTCCTGACCAATCTCTAGTGTTTAGGGGTTCCAATGCACGCCCGCCCTGACCGCTCTCCCCGCTCTCACCGCTCTCATCGCTCCGCTTCCCTATGCCCCCGAGTTCTCCCTAATCCAACACCAACCCTCACTCCCCCCTCCACAGTCACCCCCCCCCGACCCCACGCCCCCCACCCCACCCCCGACACCCCCACCCCACTCACCCGCCGCCCCTTCCCCACCATCTTTTTTTTAGCCCCCCGCACCCACCCGCCCCCACCCCCCACTCCCACCCCGCCCCCACCCCCCCCCCACTCCCCTGTCCTCTGTGTGTGGGCCTCCAATCTTCAGTATTTTTCCAACGCCCGCCCTGACCGCCCTCCCCTCTCAGCACTCTCATCCCTCCGCCTCCCCCTCCACTTCCCCTCTCACCCCCCACTCCCCCACCCCCGCCCCCCCCCCCCGCCCCCCCCACTCCCCTATCCCTGCCTGTAACCCCCCCCTCTCCCCCCCCTCTACCCCCCCCTCTACCCCCCCTCTACCCCCCTTTCCGACTGTAGGTCTAGCCCCACCCCCTGCGCCACTCCTGACCAATCTCTTGGGTTCCAACGCAGGCCCGCTGACGGCTCCCCCCCCCTCTACCCCCCCTCTACCCCCCCCTCCCCGCCCCCACCTCCCCCCTACTCCCCTGTCCGCGCCCCACCCCCGACGCCGCTCCTGACCAATCTCGAGTGTTTTAGTGTTTTAGGGGTTCCAATGCACGGCCGCCCTGACCGCTCCCCGCTCTCACCGCTGTGCCCGAGTTACTCCCTTTTCCAACACCAACCCTCACCCCCCTCCACAGTCACCCCCCCCCACCCCACCCCCCCCACCCTCACTCCACTCCCCCGCACCCCACCCCCCACTCCCACCCCGCCCCCACCCCCCCCCACTCCCCTGTCCTCCGCCTGTGGGCCTCCAATCTTTAGTGTTTCAGGGGTTCCAATG